CTCGTTGGGGCCTTCGAATTGTGCTGGGATTCATGAGACCGTATGAAACATTATACAAAGGGGATGGTAGCATTGAACTCCAAGCAGAAACAACGCAAGCATGGTGACCGAACCTCATACAGGTCTCAAAATAGGGAGGGCCCCCAAACATGATGAAGGCGCACCCTTCAGGGGGTTTTCCAAAATACGGCCCCCCTAAAGTGCTTGTTTCCCTTTTGGCTTCCCTTTAAATACCAGAAGGGGTCCACCATATTGGATCCCGTTCCTGTCTATTGGGCATGTGGAGACCGTGGGCTCCTGGTCCTCCCAAGTGTGGCCCAAAAGAACATCAAGCCATTTCAATAGTTTGGACCCTCTGGTGGACATCAACATTCGGTGGAAAACTCATGTGGCAAACAACTTGTGGTTACTCTTAAGTTGCATGGATCGCCATAAAACCCGCACCTTAGGCGTGGGGAGAGCGCGGTCCAAGGAGCCGTGGGGTCTGGCTGCACTCCCTGCTCCTGCCGAGTGCTCCCGAAGCGGCGGGAGGACCTAGAAAATTGATACACCCGAAATGACGACTAACGCTCAACACGCCAAAGGCCAGCCAGTCTTTCTCACTTCTCGAGTGGAACATAGCAGCTGGAAAGCCCATTGGCACCTGCGATTTCGGGAATCACGAAAAAAACAAAGACAAGTGGCCGCCTAAAACGCACACATGTTCCATGTGGAAGACCCATTAACAAGCGATCGCCTGCATCTCGCGCAAGGCGTTGACCCCGCTGCGCCAACTCTTCGAGGCTGCCAGGTACTCCGTGAGGCAGATCACATCTGCGCGGACCTGGCGACGAGAGCTCGCAGCCAGGCGACTTTGGAGAGTGGCCAGCCCCTTTTTGGGTGGGGGTTGAAACCGAAAGGACACCCCTCGGGGTTCCCCAAAGTTTGACACATACGCAAACGGATGTTCGCCTTTTGTAAGTGGGGCATTTATGGGTGGATCCCTCCGCAGCAAAAAGTGAGCGTATAGAGAAACTATTACCAAAAGGCAGGGGAGATCTGGTCTCACCAAAAGCCGGCCAAGTTTGGTCCCATTTGGAATTCATGGCCAAACGGGTAGGTCGTTTGCTAAAAGCATCCATTTCTGGGGTGTTTGAAAGAGAGCCTTGTAAAACACACACACACACACACACGAAAAAAAAGGGGAACAAAAACAGATAATTTGTGTGGACCTGTTTTGACACATGCCCATAAGGGTCTCACTGCCGAGATCTCTCAAAACCGGTTCGAGATGTGTTTCTAGAATGGTCCGGAGCAAAACGTGGTTTTCGTCCAGCTTCCCATCGTTTGGGGCCTTCAATGATCAATGGGGTTGTGATTGGTACTTGTTTATCCCAAACCCAGATATCACAAGAGACTGTGCCTCGAAACATTGCCGCTTTGTCGCCCAGCAAATGTGTTGCGCTTGCTTCCTTGTAGGAGTACAGCTTTGCCTTGAATATCCGTCAACGCAAAGAGGTGTCTGCTCTTGTTTCTGTGGGTATGCCCTTGGTCGAGGAATCCCCTAGTGTGCCCAGTGAAAGGGGCTAGAGTGAGTTCACGGAGTCTTATTGGGGGGGGGGGGCAAGCCCACTTGGTTGTTCAAGATACTTTGCAAGTAGGGACCATCCCCATGGACAAAGGGCGTTCTCCCCTACCCCAGCTGCCATGGCCATAACCTACTTACCAGTTACTGGAACACCCAAGTAGTCACGTGGCCAACTGAACCGACTGAACTGCTGCGCTTTTCCGAGGCCGCCGAGACCGCCGAGGCCGAATCCGCGGCCCGAGCTGCGGGCTTCAAACCTTCGCCCTTCCAGGGGAAGCCGACCGCGGCGAAAGCGGAAGCGGGACAAAGCCGGGGTTCTGCACTCCGTAAACAGAAGCAGAAAGCCGGAGCCTGTTCCCCGACTCATGGCACCGGGGTTGCTTTGCACACCGTCCATGTAGATATGGGCTCGCCTTGTTCAATGTTGAACCCCCCCCCCAAAAAAAAGAGAGCGGGACACTGTGAGCATGCGTTGTTTTTTTTCACTTGTTGAGTGGAAACTCGAGTTGAGCTATGTTTGCCTAATGTGTGTTTAAATGTCAGCTGAACTGTAAAGAAAATCGGTTGGAAAGAACATGCTGTGTAAACTATCAATTAAATAGACTTATGCTAGTTCAAATTATATTATGAAACAGAAGTTGTGATTGGATTCATTCCTTATCAAATTACTGTTTAACTCTAATTTGGTTGCAGTGTTCTATTGGGAAAGGATTTACATCTAAGTTCTAAATGTAAGATGTAATTCCCAGTAGGATTCTAATCAAATATTTCCTTATTGAGTCCTATTGAAATCCAATTCAAAATCAAACTGAATCTTAGAGAGCGGCCGTTGGTCGAGATGTGAATTGCGAAAGAAAACGCTACAAAGCACTGTGTTTTACGGTGTTTTCTGACCATGGTAGTTCTGGGCTAGTAAACACAAAAAAAACACAGTTTTAGGACCTCTGAATTCTCTCCTTCTGAAATCGACTTAATATCCTTACCAAATTCTTCCCGATGTCTAACTGAAATTAACTAGAAATCATTAAGGAAAGACTCCAATCAAATTGTGTAATCTAAATCAGATTTTCAATTATGAAAGTTATATTTCCACATAAATGTTACACGGGAATTCCTTTTCCAATACAATTGTCCTTACAAATCAGTACGCATCTAAACAACATGTATTAAACATGTTCGGAACCTCTAAGTTATTTCCTTCCGAAATCTACTCAATATATTTGTCAAGTTCTACTTAATTCCTATCTCACATTAAATAGAATTTAAATAATGAAATAATCCAAACATAGGTGTTGGTTTAAAGTAGAACTTAAATAATGTGTGTTCTATTTCACAATGGATGCTACACAGGAATTCCTGTCCAATAGAATTGTCTTTGCAGATCAGTAGGCACTTGAGCAGCTTAACAATTTTGGGATCTCTAACGTCTTTCTTATAAACTCTACTTGATATTAAGAAGAATGTAAAAAGGAACGAGTCCAACCAGAGAAAACCATCTCTAGCTTGCTGTACTAGGGCTTGGATGTGAAATACACCAGCGCACTTGATCACAGAAGCTCTTGCAAACAGGCCGGAAACGGTGAAGTACAAAAAACAACTCGCGACAACCAAGCAAAAGCACATTATGTCCTCTCAAGTCAGGACAGCTGACAGAGTCTTATTTTTGTTGGTTTTCTCAAGGATTTTTTACACTTTTCCAAAGAAATGCAAAACACCTCGAGAAAACCAACAAAAAAAAAGGCCCCCCCCCCCCCCGCCGCAAGCCAGGACATGTGACATAGTATTGCGTATTTTTTGTTTAGTTTTTTGTTGAGTGTGTTTTGTTGCTTTGGTTTTCTCGAGGTTTTTTTTTGCGTTGTTGGGAAAAGTGTGAAACACCTCGAGAAAACAACAACAACAAAAAGACCATCCCCCCCCCCCAAGCCAGGACTGCCATAGTCTTGCTCTTCTTTTTTTTGGGGGGGGTTGTGTGTGTGTGTGTGATTTTGGTTTTTTTGGTTTTATCGAGGTGTTTTGTGTATTTGGGAAAAGTGTCAAACATATCGTGTGTTTTTAATAGAAAACTATAGAAAAGCGCACGCTCAGGGTGTCCTGTTCTGAAAAACAACTGGCTTCGGCTTTCTTTTTGGCTTCCCCTAACAAACAACCAAAGGGAGTCCCCCAAAAAACAACCATATACCAGCAGCTGGCCCATTTCGAGGATGTGCGTTATGATTCGACCCACAATCGGTATTTCCTTCCGGCTGACCAAACAACACGAAACATCTGTCAAGCTGGGTCCAGGTGTGGTTGTCCTCGCTGTAAACGGTTCCGCCCAAAACAAGTTCATATCTGCAGATTCAGATTCACACAGATTTAGTCAACCCTCTATCCATGGAGGAGATCGCCGAAAGGTGGAGCCCATTGGATTCTACGCAGTGCCCGAAGGATTGGCAAGATAAATGTTCAGGGGCATCCGTCAGCTTGTTTCACACAGAGCTCGAACCCAAACTTTGCTATAAACTTTAAACTTTCATAAAGCCGAATGAATGAATCCCTAAGGCACTACAACTTGACCGATTCGAATCCCTCGCTTTACTCTTCGGTGAACGTGCTGAAATTCGTGTGGGGATCAGCTGGGCCAAAACCCCACTGATGAACTTTGACTGGCTGAACGTTGATAATCTCCCCATGTTTAGCCAACAGCCTAAGCTTCCCAATAAACTGCCTTTGGGCTTGCTTCAACCGACCTGCCAAGCTCCATGGCACCGCGCAAAGCTTCGTCCCCAACAAACCCTGCAGCAAACAGTTGCGAGCTTCTTGGCGGAGAATTGTGTATCTCCCAACCAGGGAAAGTTAGAGTCCCCCTTTTTTGACGAAAACAAATGTGTACTGCTAGAAATGCCTTGAAGGAAGCAGCTAGTCCGGAGCTGAAGCTGCACTCACGCGCAGGCGGGGCAATGGGCTGTGGCTGTGGCGTTGTCAAGGCATCCGCAGGTTTGTGGACAGAAGAAGGTCAGGGGCCGGAACAGCAGTGAGTGACCTTCAGGGTGGGACAATTTCTTTAAACATGTTTGAAGGGCATGATTTAAGCCACCATTTAATCAATCCCTGGTTAAAACATTTCGAAACATTGTTTGAACAAACTCCTTTCGGCTTCCCTTTGATGTTAAAAGCTCTATACCTGCTTGCTCTTAGAAACAGCATAAACATATTCAAACATGCTCTGACATATCAAACATATTTTGCCCCAGTCTGACCTTGGCACCACCGTGCTCCGGTGATAACCTCCATGTCCTGCGAACAAGTTGCTGTGAGCTTGGAAACCGAGGCGAAGCAAAAGACAGAGTCACCGTCGAAACCTGGTACTGAAGGGGGTCTACCTATCACTCCTATCACTTGGCCAACGCTCAATCCTAAACCCAGGATTTAGATCCGTTCTGCCATCAGTTTGGGGGTCCACCCAACACCATGTAAAGAGAAGGCACAGTACAAGACCAAACAGCCAGTGGCTTGGTTCACGTCCTTTCCTGACAAATCAACAGGGCGGAAAGCGCACCAATTTACGGTTCCCACATGGTCAGATGGTGGCTCCCTTATATTTAGAATCATTCTAACCCAAATTTCCTCGGTCCGCCATCCCTACGAGCACATGAACCGGTCTTTTGACCATGGCGCGTGTGAGTGTCCACTCTGCTGTGAATTTGTGTGTTTTAAACCACAAACCACCACACCACTAGCAACACCAAACAACAAAAGCAACCGACACAAGAAGACGCAGCACCTCATCGGTGCCTTGTTGGAAACATAGGGCCTGACTTGGAAGCCACCAGGCCGGCCAATCGCCATCTACCAACACATGCCGAAACAACCAAAAAGGACACCTACTGTGGCTGCCAAGTCGTTAATACTAATAATACTAGTAATAATAATATATAAAAACAAAAACATAAAAGCCCGGTCCAGTTGTAGCAGCGCGGGGCAGCCCACGGATTTCATGAAGCTCACGATCTGCTGGATCTGCGGCCCCACGCCACCCGCTGACACGTCCTCCCCGAAGTGGTGACTCAGTGCTGGCACCTCAACCGGTGGGTTGGGGACACAAAGAGAGCCACTTGGGCGGCCTCGTCTTTGAAGGGCACCTACAAGGGGAGGGGGTGCTCGTATTTCTGGGAAACACGTTAATTCAGCCTGTTTTTAAGGGGGGTCCGATTGTTTAAAAAACGACACACCCACTCAAAGCACGCTCCCATGAATTTACGTTGCAAATTTGTGGTAAGTTTGTGGTAGGTCGAAGTGGTGTGTTGAAGTCATCCTGTCTCGTTCAGTGGCAGGTAAAAGGGACACCACCAAGGAGTTTCTGACTCTAGCTGAACACTGACCCCATTTCCTTCCTCCCCTATATGAAGGAATCTTTTGGGAATCGGATCCCCTTTTGTGGGTAGTCACCCCCGTTCAGTGGTAGGAAAAGGGGAAACCACCCCTCTGACTTTGAGCCCCTCAAACTCAGGGGAGGAATCAACCGGGCTTCAAACTTCAGTATAGCGGGCAGCCATAGGGGGCCGCAGGGTTCCTATGTCCCCAAAAATATCCCCTTGGGGGAAGTAACAATGGTTCAAAACGTGAGAAATTTACAAAGGCAGAGGGGCTAGGGTTCACACAGTAGTGAATGCTTTGGCTTTTGACATGGCTCAAATCTCCAGTATGGGTTTTAGGCTCAGATCGAGTTGCTCCCAACAGCGGCAACCATTGTCTCTTGCCAACAGGCAACCAAGGGGATTTCCGGCCTTCAAAACCAAGGGACAATGGTTGGTGACCTACTCTAAGCATCGAAAGGACCCTGGGAGTTTTTGGAACCTATAAGGTTTGGTACCCAGAATTTTCGGAATTTTATGGTGGCTTCCCCAGAAACCATCATCCGAAACGTGGATTCCGCGCCCCCCTTGCTAACACCTCCCACATCAGGGCCGTGGCACGTATTCGTCCCAGGCCTTGTGCCAATTCGGGTGGTCCTTGGACACGTCCACGCCTCGGAAGCCGTTGTTGTTTTTCACGGGGAGAAGACGGATTTGGAATTCGCCGTCTTTCGCTGGCGGATGTTCAAGGAAAACACCTTGAACAAAAAATGAACAACTAAAACACACACACACACACCACATACACACACATCCCACATACACCCAAGGACAATAGACTAAAATGGTGCAAAAGGGGAAGACCAAAAGGTCACAATGAACGATTCGCTTTGGGCGAGTGAGTTGGTCGTTTGGTATATGCTAAGAAAGAACAAAAGGCGCTACTGGGCCGCTGGGTCGCACTCACTTGCGGAAACTTGCACCGGGCAGAGCTGAGAGCAGCCCAGAGCCTCCACCTTGTACCAGAAGGAGGCTCTTGCATCCTGCGTTGCCACACATTTCTCACTTCGGATTGGCCAAAACAAGTCCAAAGTGTGTGTTTACCACACAAATCGCAACTACACCACAGTGACGATCAAGTCCGAAACGGAACTCACGGGTAATGGACTTGGGAAAACATGGGAACTCTTTGGCAAGTCTTTGAATTTGCCTTCAGAAAGGAAGCGCAAAACCGAACGTGTCGACATCCTTTACCTAGTGACAAGATTTTCCGATGCTCTTCTTTAGGTTGGTGCAAAGGAAACCAAAAGGAAACCCATTTGACCGAAGTCAATCTTATATCCATTTGCTGGCACAATTGGGGGCTTCTCAGAAACTGGCTCATTCTTAGGGCTGCCTGACTTTACATCCCCAAATGCTTGGCAACCAGTGATCACGCTCAGGGAAGGATGTGTTTCTCAGTTGCCACCATTCGGGGCCATTACAAAAATCGACCAAATCATGGCTATGGACTGTATTCCATCTCCAAAAGGGCAACGTCGCTTCTCTCCTTGTAAGAACTACGGCGGAACCCTTCGTCGGCTGTGGGGTACTCCAGCCGTACCTTCCAGTTCCATTCTCGTTTGCCAGTCTCCTTTCTTCATATCGTGGGTTCAGAGAACGGGGCATCATCAACCCGAGTTGCCTTGCCAAACCCTCTCTCCGCGGAGCGAGAGGCTAAGTGAAGCCCCAAGCCCCCCCCATTCCTTCGGTACGTTTTCTCGAGGGGGCAACATATTTGTTTCCCCACGGAAAGGGAAGCAAACCCCTCGCTTTTGTCGACTGGCCCGCACGAGACACCGGTATTCTGACAAAGGAAAAAGGGTAACACTCTCCTGCCCAAGTGCATGAAGCTATTCCTGAGACGCATCGAGGAATAGCCAGCCATGGCCTTCGGCAAACTGACGTTCCGCTTGGTTTCACTCCAAAAAAGCTACCCTCAAAAAAGACACCCCGATTTTTTTAGACACACCCATACGATGGGCCAATCGACAAAACTCGAACCCACTCGAAGTGCTGAGGCCCACGTTGCTCCTGGCAGCAGGTAGCCCCACCTTACATGCTGCCAAAGGACCTGGAAATCAATGGCGATGAACTCTTCAATGGCCATGAAAACGAAACAAAACCAGATCAAATACCCAACAAGCAACAGGAGGCTCAAAGTTCAATGGGCTGTGGCCCGCTGGAAAACCCTTCAGCGACGGGTCATGTGATTTCCCCCGATCCTGGGATCAGCCAAGAGAAGGTCAATGCACTTAAACCATGCAAATGACCCCGTGAAGAAATTCAACTAATTCACTTTTCCTGTGCAACAAGACACCCACACGTCAAAGGCCAAAAGAGCATCAGGTAAGGAGCTGCTTGAATCGGCAAGAGCTCATGCAACCCAAGTGAAAAACAAATAAAACAAACAAGCCTCACTACACCTGTAAAATAAAAGGCCAAAGACCCCAAAGTCCAAAACAAGACATAGGTCAGGTCAGGTATCCCATCATTGGTGGTTTGGATTGGTGGTTTGGGATTTGAACCCCTGGTTCTGGTAGAGGGTCAGTGGGAAACCAGCCCCCGGAGCACCTCCAAACCGGGCTCCAAACCCACCAGATTCTGGTCCTAGAATTCACCGCTTGCGAGAGGGCTCAGAATCAGGAAATTAAAAAGCTCGGCGTTTCTTCCCAAACCTTGGTGCGGCAATGCGCATTGTTGTATCCTTCTTCTGAGCAGGCTTTATAACCAATGCACAGACTCAAAACCAAACAAACATCGGACACAAAGAGCCATGCACAGGTCAGGGTGTATTTCTTGCAGCCCCCCCCCCACTACCAATGAGCAAACCCGAAACAACTAACACTTCCCCCCCCCCCCCCCCCCCCCAAAAAAAAAAAAAAGCACGCAAACACATTGGTAGCGTTGTTTTTTGCTGGGTCACAGAGCATCCGCAGCAGCCGTCCCTCGTAGTCGTCGCAGAAGCTTCGCATGGCGTGGCACCGTGAGAGAAGCCGCTCGCGCATGGAGAGGCTCTGATTGGAGGAGTCCACCTCGGGTCCCACGGAGTCCATCTGGCAATCCATCGGTCCAAGGCAGATGTTGACCCCACACTCAACCCCTTGTCAAAACATTTTATCCACTGCACTCAGGGTTTATTGAACATGAACCCCAACTAAACTCAGGACACTCCCTAGTGATAAACTGGGGTTGATTAATATGGGGTTAACATTAACCAGGAGTGGGAAAGATTCGACTGGCGGGGTGCTTTGAAGCCACAAGTCATGCTTCCTGGAGTGAGCTATAGTAACTATTTGGCACCTATGTCATGTGCCATAGGTTTTGAGGGCGGCTCAATGTCTCCACGATACGGAGATGTACCCCTGAAGCTGGCCCGTCTCTCTCCGCCACTTGCGATGGTTCCAAACCCCCAAGCGGGGTGACCTCCTACAGGAAGCTCGGGCACGTGCCACTTGTACATATCTTGGTTACTTTCTGCTCCCCTGCTAAAAGATTAACTTTTAGTGGTTTAATGGGAAGCCCATTAGCTGGCAAAAAGTTCAAGTCCTAACATCCAAGCAAAATGCACCTCTGATATGTAGTTGTCACGTGCTGTTGCTCGACGGACCGACCCATCGTCCCGAACAACTGGCCGAGCGACCGACTACTGACCGACTGACTGGACACCCGACCACGCAGAACAACGCCTCGCCAAACCTAGAACAAAAGGGCGCTGGCTGGAACCTGCTCAAACAATACCACCCCAATATCGGTTGAACCAGCAGGATCCGTACATTTCTTCGTAAACATCACCCCTGCCAAGAGCACATCACCTATGCCCCAAACAGGTGATGTTGACATCACAGATACACGCTACAAGACAGCTGAATCATTGCTTTCAACGTTTGGCTTCCTTCCCCCCCCAAAAATAATAATAAATAAAACATAAACCAAACAAATAATAAAGTAAAGCCCTGCGTTCAAACCCATGGGGCGCCTATACTTTCCCTTCCAACCCAAAAAACGGCAAGAAAAGTCGACAGACCGCGGCCTGGCCCAGCGCGAGCTCTGCCGCGTTGAGCCGCACGTCCGCCACCGACACCAGCAGCACGTCTCCGGCGGCCTCAAACCGCGGGGGGGTGGGGGGGGGGGGGGCCAGGAACAAAAAGCCCAAGCACAAACTGGCGATCATCTAAAAAATCTAAATATAACTCAAAAAGCCCAGGCACGAACTGGCGATCATCTAAAAAATCTAAATATAACTCAAAAAGCCCAGGCACGAACTGGCGATCATCTACAAAATCTAAATATAACTCAAAAAGCCCAAGCACAAACTGGCGATCATCTAAAAAATCTAAATATAACTCAAAAAGCCCAGGCACGAACTGGTGATCATCTAAAAAGGCCAGATATAACTCGGAGAGTACCTGGTCCTTGTATGTCCAACGTACCTCACCCCAAACTCATAGGCCAAGGTGATGAATTTTAAACCACTCACTTCCGAGCAAGTGGATTGCCCCGCCCAAAAACCTCAACCCAACCTTTTGGTTGCGACGATGGCTAAACACACAACAAGTGACGATCAAGTGACGATCACGGAACTCAGGAAGTGAGAGAGCGTGCAAAGGGCCTTGAAGAAAGAACTACACTTGGGGCTGAAAAGTTGACGCCTCACTTCGCAGCACTAAGAGAGGCGGAGAGAGGGAGAGAGAGAGACTGATACTAGTAGAGAGAGAAGGAGAGGTCTCCCATCGTGCTTGCGCGTGGAGGAACACCCAAAAGTAAGCCAGTTGGTCCATGTGTTGCTTTTTTTCCGTGAACACATCTCAAAACAAGTGTCTCTACTCTCTGGGAAACACATGCTTTAAAATGGCTCGCCAGCCTGCGCCCAGACCCAAGTCCGTGTCTGTTGCGTGCTCGCGGTTCCCTTCAAGCAACAAAAAGGTTTCCTGGAAGACACACCCTCACCTTTCCAAAGGAACCAACCCAAGAGGACACTCGCCACTTCTTGCACCCCATTGAGAAAGCACACGTATATAATATATATAATATATATATATATATAAATATGACATTATATGATATGATATAGCCTGTATGGCCGCGTGCGTGTTTTGAGGGCGCCCTCTTTAAGGTTGAACTGTTTAAGGGAGTGCAATGCAATTACGGAAGCCCATTTTTGGGGCTTGCCCTTTAACACATGTCCATGTCAGTGAGTTGAGGGGCGGGGCTCACATTCCGCTTCAAATGATCTCCGTAAGAACCTGCATCGCGAGCTCGTTTGACCCCCGATTTGGTGGACTCCAAGTAAAAAAGCAAATCGGGAAACACCAGTATAGGCGCCTTGTGTTCAGCACGAGCTCCTTTGCTTGCCCCGCCACTCCAAAAGTAACACTCCAGACCCTGCTCCGTGTTTTTTCGTCGACAGAACAAGGAAATCGTTTTGCAGGAGACCGTGAGACCTCAGTCTGAAAGGGCACCAGAGGGCTGTCGGAAGCGTCGCCGGAAGCCGGTTTCGCGAGCCTTGCCAGTGGGCTGGAAGACGTCGGTCTCCCAGCAAATGGGCGTCGACTGCACTTCCTCCACCACGCTGCGGGCGCTCTCCGCCTGAAACTGCTTCAGGGTGGCGGAGAACCTCAGGGCCAGGGGCCAAGGGGAGGGCCGTGAGGTTTGAACAAAGCCTTTGGTTGTGAAAGGATATCGCACTTAGGGGTGACCTTACAAATTGACACATACCTTCAAGTTACGCGTGGGTCCTGCTGTACAAGGCAACAACAAAGCAGTGACCTGAGCATACTGCACCCCGCTCGACGCTAGCTGGACGAAGGGGCGGACACGGGCCCTGCATCTGTGTCATTGCAAGGCTACCGGCTAGCGAACTCACGGAACTTTCTGGAAAATCGATCGCTATGCTTGACAGGGTGCTGACATCGAGGACCAATCCTCTACGCGACAACCACTTGTGCGCCCTACCCCAACGTGCCCTCCCGATGCAGAAAACTCCTGGGCCAGGGTTCCCCAAGGCATTCCTTGTGGTGGTCATCAGGTTCTTTCCCCAAAGAGTTGATTGCCATCCCTCTGCTCAAGAAAAGGGGTCTTCTGACAGCACATGGTGAGCAATCAGTTGGCATACCCAACAGCTACACTCAGCACATGGAAGCTTTCCATGGGCCGCAAACCCTTCGGTTGACCAGTTTGGGACCTTTGGGGTGGCCTTAGACCCCTAAGCCAAGGAGCACTTTCAACCCCCCCTTGCCTCGATTCTTGAGTGGCAGGGCCAATCCAAGCAACCCAATTTGTTTGCCACTAAAACGGTCCAAAGCGCAACTATCGAACGGGGGCTCACACCGGCTGGGTCCACAGGACCCTGCCAGACTTTCTTAAGCCGCACAACCGAAAAGAGATATTGAAACCGGCCAACACCACTGAAAAAGACAAATGCAACTGTGTCTTGCAGGTGTTGTTGAACCCGCAAAAGACATATCGCGAGGAGGGGGCCTTCAACCGACCAGGCAATTTCGAAGGATTCTTGTTGAGTTCCAAGGCTACGCATAACATGGAAGGGGCAAACAAAGTTATACTTGGGTGGTTTCTGCCTTCCTCTTCGTAGATTCTGTCCAGGCCAAGTCCTTTTGGGCAAGCCGCCCTAAATGAATGGAACCAACCTGGAACCAGTGCCAGCGATCTTCGCAACCAAGGCCACCCGAGGTTCCCGGGCTGAGGCCACCGAAAGAAACACGGGCGTCGGTGGGAGTGTCTGAAAAAAGCGAGAAACAAAAATCAGCTTGGTTTCACAAGGATGTCTCCAAACCCTTCCAGATTTGAACACCTGGGCCCTGGTATTTTAGGGGCCCAGGTTTGCCGACACTGGCTGGCTTTCAAAGAAGAAATCAGCAATCTTTGAGTCCAACACATTGTGCACATGTATATAACCCTTTTGTACACGACACTTCCATTTGGGTTGAAAAAACAACCCCGTGGACAACCCTTGTATCCTTATGCCCTAGTATCGGTCAGTATCGGTTTTTTCCCTCAATCGGTTTGCAGTGTTTTGGCAGCTCTAGCTCGAAAGTCGTGACTTTTCCGTACAAGTGTAGTATGCGAAGTACACTCTGCCAGCTCCCAGCTCCATCTGGAAAGTCGCAACTTTTCAGTACAAGTGTAGTACGCAAAGTACATTTTGGCAGCTCCAGCTAGAAAGTCGCAACTTTTCAGTAGTATGCGCAGTAGACTTTGGCAGCTCCGGCTCGAAAATCGCAGCTTTTCAGTGCAAGTAAGTTTTTCAGTACAAATGTGCTACACAAAGTGCATTTTGGCAGCTCCAGGGAAGGCTGCAGGGCAGCTGGTTGGATTCGGCGTGGCGGCCACTGAGTTGGGTATCGGTTGGGTATCGGTTTGGGACCTGCAAATTTATAATTCCGCGATCTTGGCTTGCGACGACAACTTGGACCTGATGTGTGTCTTCATGGCTTCTGGGGGTATCGTTTTTTCTTCCTCTGTATCGGTTTACAATGGTTTTGGCCTGCGAAACAAGTTAAGGGACGGCCCCTTACATAACGAAAAGGCGCAGGATATTTTGTTCAGCCCATTTGGGGTCCCAGTAAAACACAAGAGACAAACGCACAGCCATTGAAAGTCAAGGTTCCAGATGTACTGCGAGGAGTCGCTAAACTTGTAATCGTCCACCACTGTCTGGCTCACCGTGCGCAGGTCCAAATCCCGACTGGGAGTGGTGACCACACCACGAGCCACCTCGGAGCGCCGAGAGAAAGCCGGCGAGTGCAAGCTTCCTATCCCTACTGTGGATGGACGAAATTCATTTCGCCCCACCTAAGAGACCCTGGAATGATCATTCCCCCGGTAAATACCAGCAAATCATGGTTTCCCATGGTATCAAAGTGGCGCAGGATCTTGCCCATCCACAGTATGACTACTTTGTCACCTTGGGGATTCCCTTGAAATCGGCTCAAATTGACTGCCTCGTGTTCCACCTGCCCATGGGCTGTTGGGTGTATGTGCGAAAATGGAGGGACAAAACAAGGTTGCCCAAAAAACACAAGCAAAAGACTCACTCAAATCCAAGCATGTGTGGTACCAACCAACATAGAACTCACAAGAGGTTCACTCTTAGTGGGAAAATGGTCTTGCAGGCCCCAGTTGGCCATGTTCGTGGGGTAGTTTGCAGGGGGGTCCGACTTATTCCCTTTAGGGCATTTACCCTACCGCTCCCGTTTTGGTCGGGGAATCCCACTGCTGATAGCCTTGTGAAAACAACAGCGGCTCCGATTCCACCGGCTGGAGTTGCTTTCCGCTCGCCAAAGTCGGTCAGCGGTCACAAGGGTTTCACAATCAAAGATCTTCTTGAGTGGGAAGCATAAAAAGACTGGCTGTACAAGGGGAAATCGCTGGAAACAAGAAGCTGCCCGCTAACCAATTGGAAAACGAGTAAGATCTTTGCCACATCCGAGTATTCGGTGAGTTGATTCAATCGCAGGTCCGGAAGAATCCTTGGACCCAAGCAGTCTGCTGCTGCTGCTGCTTGGTTTTGCTGCCCTGAGGGCTTTGAGAATGATGTGTTGCAACCATGTACGAAGCAACTCTGACAACAAACCCTCAGTTCTTTCACCATCATTTCCGAAAGCTTTCCTGAGCAACTCTGGACATTGGAGTTTTACGTGTCAACAAAGCCAATAATGATTGACCAGTCATGCATAGGCATGCCACTCATAACAAAACACCCCTTAGTTTATTCCCATATCTCTGTGTTGTTCCTTGCTCACCAATCAACGGAGGAAGTTCATGAATGGACACCATGTTTTCAGTGTGGCCATTTCCGCACGCAGGCAGATTGACTTTTCGTTGGTTTGCGGGAAATGCATTTCCCAAGCAGTTGCAGGTAGATCCAGCCAACCACACAACTTTGCGGTGTTCTCTCTTGGAGAAGCTTCCGCCTTTCAAGAACATGGCTTGGATGCATTGTTGGCGTCAAACTGTTCTTTTGCATGTTGTATCGTTTAACATTCTAGTGCCGTTGGTTTTTACTCCTTTGAGAAGTTTAGGGGGAAGATCCACCAAAGTCACAGGCCCCTTGGGTCGCTCGAATTGGCACCGCTATTTTTCCCGCCTGCGTGTCTTCGCTGTAGGACACTACGAAGGCGGCGTTGCCGCCGCAGAGCTCGTGCTTGACCTGCAGGAATGCACATGGGTATGAAAAAGGAGACCCCCCAAAAGATGGTGGCTTTTCCTTGGGTTTCCCTTAAGCCAATCTGAGAAGGTACCCTCACAAACACACACTCCATGTGTCGAATGGCGGGACGATCAGTTGGGTGGGTTCTCCTGGCGTCCCTTTCCAGCACATCGTTTGTTCCGTGGTTTTTGTTTTGGTGTCCCTTTCAAACCAAGGTGAAAGGGAACCCACAAAGAAAGCTTGCCGCACAACAGAGGCCTATGTCCCAAACGAGCTCTGCATTGGTTTCCCTTTTGAGCCCCATTTCAGGGGTGCTTCGGTGGATGGACACTCCTTGTACGGACAGGATCCACTTTGCAATAGCCGGGATGTCTAAAACCCCGCAAATGGGATAATATGAATCCAAGCGGTGGCGATCGGCAACTTGGCCGCCCAACTCTCAACTCTAGAATAAAGCAGTGTTCAACTTCTGTCTGGTATGTGGGTCTATCTTTTTGGGAGTCCTTGGTACCCCACTGTTTGTGGTTCTAAAGAAATCAAAAGGACACCTGCATATTGGGGAGTTCTCAAGAAGGACACACCATGCAGTATTCCCTGAAATGTATGGAGGATGTTTCCAGGCGAACTCCAAGAGTTCCCGACTGAGGCTTACGAAGACCTGTGACCATACGCATGGTGGGGCAAACCACCTTTCTGTGGGAATTGACTCAAGCCAACCCCCACCCCCACCCCCTCCCCGCCCCAAAACAAAAACGACGACAAGGGGAACCACGTCCCAACCCCCGCGCAAAAAAACAGCTTCACTCCCGAGTAGGTTGGCCCCACAAAAGCTGAACCGTCCCAATTCTCTTCAACCATCTTTTCAACAAGCTGCTTCCCCCGGGCTTTCGATGATTTCCTGAGAAGAAAGAGCCCTGGAGAGAAGGGGAAAAAAAACACTGACCCAGGGAAAAATAGAATAAAATAGGTGAGTGAAGTCTCCGGGCCCTCGAGTGAGTTCACCAAAACCGATTCCGCTCGGCTTAGCTCGCGCTCGCCTCCAGCATGGTTTGCTCCAAGGGGGCCACCAAGTGCGTGTATGCCACGAACAGCGTGGCAACCAGCACCACCACGCCTCGGGTTCTCCGGCTTGGGATGGGGAGAACCCGCCAATAAAAAAACAAGCGAAACACAAAAAACAACACGAAAAGGCACAAGCCCATCTGAATGTTGCGATGTTTTATAGACTTCCTGGAAACTCTGGGAGTGCATGCAGGGACAATTTGGAGTTGGTTGCTTCTTTGTTTTTGTTTGGGGGCGTCCTGGAGAAAGAAACATCCAGGGAATTTTCCGAGGAAAACACGCATGGTACATGAACCTGTTTCAGTCTTTGGGGTAACAAACACTTTGAGATCCGAAGCCCATTTTTGGAAGTGTCCAGAAATGAGTTTGTCTCCAAATAGGAAGAGGAGCCCTGTGAATTGGTTTCCTTTTGGCTTCCCTCTAAACCCTAAACTTTGCCAACCTCAAGACCACCGAGCCTCAAAAGCAAAGACACCCCCAAATGTCCATACGATTACCAGTAATGTCCGAAGGATTTGGGGCCACTTTAGAAACGTTCAGAAAAGGGGTCGCCTTCTTCGTGCTCCCAATTTTGAACTTGGGAGTCGAATGTGTGCCCACAAAATGGCAGGCGCCATACGTGGCAACAGTAGCTGCTTCGAGCTGATCAGATTGAATAGGAATGAACATGGACGTCTGCCAAACTTGGTCTTGGGCCCCTGCACAAAACAAACAATAAAGCGCTTCGATCCCAGAGTAAAAATCGCAGCGCTTGATTCGGGGTTGTCCCCCGAAAGTGGCGCATTTCTTGTCATTTCGACAAAAAAACACCTTGAAGCTTGATGTCGATTGCTCTCAAGCAAGGTCAGATACGGGTCAGAGTGTCACGCTCTGAAACTCGGTCCGCTAAAGTGACATCTTCAAGGGAAACCGTCCCAACAACGTTCACTTTCGATATACATGGAAGGACACAAAAAAACACATTTTCAGACTTGTACATGTTTAGTCCATAGACTTGTTTGGTTCAGAGACACCAGAAGGAGAACTCAGCTCCAAGGACAAAGCTCATTTTTGGGACATGACAGCAAACCTTCTCTGACTCTGCTTCATTTTTTTGCCGACCCTCTAGTCCCTTCCTGAGTGGATGGGCCAGAACCAGCCCAAACTTTCTGTTTGCCACTAAAACGGTCTTCCCAACAAGTGACTCAAGCCCGAGTTTCGGGCTTCTCAGGAAGTGAGCTGAATTCTTGCTCACTTGGCTGCGGCTTCGCAAATTTTTGCTCATTCCGGCGCCGGGCTTTCTCTGCCTGTGCACAAATAAAGTCAGCAAATGGAAGACCTATTGGTGGCGGTACGGAGGCTGGTTTCCTTCCCCCTTCCCGAAGGCCGATTTGTTTTTTTCGCCCCGGCACCAAAAAACACGGGGAAGAAAAAACGTGGAAAAAAAGCCGAGAACCGAAGGGGTCGGTCTGTCCGAGGTGCCGAGCAAAGCCTCCAGCTGGCTGCGGGCCCGGGTGTAGCTGATGCGCATCGGCTTCAGCTTCCGGAGGCTGAACCGCGTCTCCATGGGCATCAACGCCGCGAAGAGCAGCGCGTCCACCTCGAAGATCACCTCACTTTGAGAGGGACGGTCGAGGGATTGTAAAGGGTCGTTGGGTGGGGTAAGTAGGTAGGTAGGTAGGTAGGTAGGTAGGTGTGTGTTGGTGTGTAGGTATGTGTGTATGAAGGTTAGTTGGTTGGTTGGTTAGGTAGGTAGCTAGGTAGGTTGGTGTGTCCCCCTGAGGGTCCCGACTGTTTTTGGGCCCTCCAAATGGCTTGTTGAGGGCCCTTGAAGACGCGGGGTTCTCCGTTGGAGGGTGGGGGGGTCTGCATTGGAGGGGTCATGACCCTTAGGGATGTAGGTTACTTGGTTGGTTGGTTTCAAGACACGACCAGCAGAATATATTGTCTGTCTTTGTTTGGAGTTGGTATCCCTTTTGTGGCTTCCAAGGGAAGCCAAAAGGAAAACCACCACATTGGGGGTACCCAAAGACACACCCATATGGAAACCCCAAATCGGTGGTTTCCCTTTGGGTTTCTGTTAAGATCCCAAGAGTCCTGAGCCTCCAACAGCAGTCACTCGGGTGCCCTTGGATAGTTTGATGGGGACACCAAAAGGAAACTGAGCACCGAATCAGTCTTTGGACACCCATTTGGGTTTCCCCATGTTCATCTCCAGCAACTTTTGCTTAGCAGTTGTACGTGTGTCTGCGTGTCTGCGTCTGTGTGTTTTTGAAAGAACTTGGGATGGCTTTCAAGGGAAACAGAAGGACAGCACGCATTTGGGTATCCCCCTATTTTGACACCTACCCAAGTGTAGTTCCTTTGGGGGGAATGCTTAAAGGGTATTTCTGCGCCTGCGGGGTGGAAACAACAAGCTCGAACGGGAGAGGCCAACATCCATGGAGAAAATCACCCTGAAATCCTTGAGAATGACCCACTTGGAGTCACTCCCATGAGTTGATCACTAAACCAGAGGGTGCCTGTGATATCAACAAACATGTGCCCAATCTTCCACAAAGGGCGGTGTTGGGCGCTGCTCAGCCAGCAGAACCGCAGAACTTCGAAACCGGAAGAAATCGTGGCTGTGGGTTCCGTGTGTGAACCTGTTTCCGCATTCCGCCTGTCGGTCAGTTTTTCACTCACCCACCGGCGGGGTTCCCTATATTTCCCGCTTAAACATTGCCCCTAGGCCCCAGGGAAAAGGCAAGAAAGGTGCTGTTACCCCTGAACCTGAGCGGGATTTGGGCGTGTCTTTTGATGGAAAACCCCAACTCCTGGGGTCGCTCGAAAGGCTTGAAACAGAACTCTCCTCGGAGAAGTGGTCCTCACTTCCCAGGTTGATGGGCCAAAAGCAAAACACAAAAACTGGTTCTTTACCGCCATGGTCTACCCAGGCTTGAAGTCCAGGGACTCCGGACGTGAAATTTTCATTTTAGTGTTGCACCCGGTCGCTTGAAAGGGGGGTTGAAAAAGAACTCTCCCAACTGTTGCCCTTTTATTCTCGAGCACAAACCCATGTCTTCTAATATCTTCAACAAGTGCTGCCCTGTTGCCGACCAACCAATCTGTGAATTCACTCAGACCCGGTGTCCAACGGCACCCCCTCGCCTCCAGGGCCACGCAGTTCAGGATCAGATCCTGAAGTCGGCTCCACCGGTTTGGGTTTCCCCCGTGTTTCGCTGGACCCCGTTGGGCGATCACCCGGAGCTGACGAAACATGGACCAAAGGGAAACCAAAAGCTGAGAGAAGGTCGATTCGCTTTGGGGAAGTGGATCAAAGGACACATGGCAATGATTTTCTTTCGGGAACCCGCTTGGAAAGTGGTTGGACAAGCCCCCCTTGAAAGTGCTTGGACAGGAATCCCCAAACAAAAAAAATGATGTCCACGGGGTCCGAGATTAAAATCATCACACCAACTGTTCATGGGCATTTGCCAAAATAGGGGGAAGCCCCCCCAAAAAAAGAAAATCATGCTGATGTGCTTTGTCGCTTGCACTTCCTTTTTTTGGGGCTTACGGGAAAGGCCGATGAGAGAGAGCCAAACAGCTGGCCATTGCCGTAGGCCAGATGCAAATGCCGCCATCAACGCCCCCGTGGGCGGGCTGGCAAGCCTTGCCGTTCTGAAGTCCCCTGGAAACAAATACACATATGTCCAAAAGTGATAGATTCCCTTCAAAACCAACAGCGGAAAACAAAACATATTCTTATAGGCAAATGGACGCACATGGCATCTGAACATGTTTCGGGTTCGGAAATACAACTTGGATGCCCAGAAGGACCCTCAGCATGGGTTTTCGCTCCGTTTGCCTCAGACAAATCCTATGCACCTGCAATTCCTTGGCCCGAAAATGCCCATGATGGCAAATCTTACGCGTGGTGTCCTTGTCCCATAAACCCTGCGAACCCTTAATGGGTTGATCAACGGATCAATATATTCGACATGCCCCAGTCGGGCCCCATCCAAACTGCCATGACTTACCACCAGCAAAAGGATCCTTCGACCTTTCGTGGGTTCCATCGACGCGTTCCGAGTCGCCAACGCAAACGCGTGTCCATCTTGCGGCCCGAGCATCTGCGATGGAGGTGGTGCTCGCGAGCCACAGGATCCCGGCGTAGAGCAGCCAAATGGCCATCACGACGCGGCAGAGATGCCTAGCCGCATCGCAAAGCTGATCTCATTTTTTGCCGGTTGCTGTTCACCCCTCTGCAAAATGTTTAGCTGTTTCTTGGTTTTGTGGATGGTTGCAAACAAGTCAGCTTTTCGCTTCAGACGTTCAGAAACGCAAGGGGGTGATGATATTTGGATTTCGCCCATCCACAGTTAGTGAGAAAGGTTGAACATGAAACTAAGGCTGGTTTGTTGGTTAGTGGGAAATCGCTTTGTTGAGATTCCCCAACGTGAATACCAACAAACAAGATGGATTTCGTCCATCCACAGTTAGCGAGAAAGGTTGAACATGAAACTAAGGCTGGTTTTTTGGTTAGTGGGAAATCGCTTGGTACGGTTATATAGTTCCTGGTAAGCTAACCTTTGTTGCTTGGTAAGGCTTGCTTTTTGTTGGTGGGAAAACACACATCCCAACAATATTGAAGGTCCAAAATCCAGCCAAGATACACCAAGATCAGCAAGCCCAGGCGCTGGTAGGACACAATCTCTGAGCCCTGGCGAGAAAGGTGGCAATTTCCGAGGTTAAAAAAGCCCAAAAGGCCACGATTCGAGTCAACAGTTTCCGTCCTGCGGATGGACGAAACCCTGCAACCCTTTGAAACCAACTTGTGTTGGTATTTGCAGGGGACTTATCAGAAACCAGGGTTTCTTAGGCGGTGTGAAATGGATTTCGTCCATCCACAGCAATTCCAGGAATCAGGCGTGTGCAGGACATCCCACATTCTCCAGGTAGAATGTATGGCCCATGGAGGGCTAATGTGGGTAAACAATCCCGCGTCTGGCAATGCCAGCATAGTATCTGCATATTGTTGTGGGAGGGGAGAGAACCTTTAGAATGATTGCTGGATGATGATGACGCTTAAAGAAAACCAGGTCTCAGGGTGGTGTCAGTCTGCCCGGGTGGTGTGGCAGGTTGACCAGGGGCAACTTGGGAGGACCCGAAAAGGGTTTGCATTGGGGGATGTGGCAGGTTTGGAGGCTCCACACAAAGAGGTTTGCAAACGGGGATAGCAAGAACATATACAAACAACACTGACAGCAACAAAACAAAAGCCAAGCTTGCTAATTAGAGGGAAATCCAGCCAAACAAGGCAAACATGGGAAACAAAATCAGGTCGGCTGATAGGTTCGCTGGCCATCGGTTTCAACCCTTTCTGGGTCGTCCATTTGAACTAAGCAACAGCTGTCTACCCGTCCACGTCCAAGTATGGAGCGTTCTTTCTTGTTGTTGACCGTGAAGAGCACTGTGGCAAAATACAATTGGGAATCCACCCTTGCTTTGATAAGCTTAAGCCCCTGCAAAAGAAAACATATTTCAAGTAGTGATGGTTCTCAAGCAAATGGAGCTTGAAGTATGTTCTGCAGTTTGTGCCATGCTCTTTCCAATAATCACTGAACTGGACAGGAGGGTTTTGGAAGACCACCATCTTCTTGAATAGAGCCCATAATTGTTGAGAACATAGGGACCCGTTTGGTTGAAAATAGATGGATTTCCCTGGTAGATCACGTTCAGCCAGGTCAACCAGGAATCGCCATCTATTTTCTGTCACCAAAAAGGACATGGTTGGAACCCCAGTGTCTCAAGCGGAAGGAGTCCTTGTCCATGTTTTGGGAAGCCGCCGCGACTTGAAATTGAACCCTTCCCGTTTGGAGTTGATTGAGTGGAAAGTCCCCCAAAAGCTTCACCTGACATGAAACAATGAAATCAAAGACCCCAAAGGGGCTGATACAAGATCAGCCTTTTGGAAGCCCGTAAGCCCGCCCATGTTCCCCGCAGGCCATTCTCCGTCCCAGCGCGGAACCCTCAGCAAAGAGGGGTGTCCTTGTTGCCAGGGGTCAAAAGTTAATGTTCCAACCATGTCTGCAAAACCTCTCAAAAGAAAAACATATGACTGGAGTGAGAGATGGGTTAAAGCAAAGAAAAGCCAAAGAAACAAACAATCATGATCCATCAAAACAGCCGAACACAGGGAAGAAATGCATAGCAATCAGCAGGAACGGATGAACACTAACCAACACAACCAATAAGCGTCATGCAAATGACCGGCATTCTTTTGGAATCCTCGTGGCAAGGGGACACGGCGAACTCATAGCTTCGACCTTCAAGTTGTCGCCTTACGGCTCCCGACATGTCCAACACCGTGGATAGGTTGAGGTCCCTCAAGGTAACCAACCGTTGACTAACCCATCGGGGTCCTTCCCCATGTCCGGCCATGGGAAAATATTGGTTCAATCCTTGCGCTTCCATGTCTCACAATGGACCAGGCTTCACTGAAATTCGGGACGTTTTCCATTTGGGCGTGCCTTTTTTTCGGGGCGGGGGTCCTCTTTGGTTTCCGTTCAAAACAACAAACAACGGTACCATCTTAAAAAAAAAGAAAAAGAAAAAACGAGCCACCCATTTCGCCACAGGATGCTGCCACGCCTGCGTCAGGACACTTAGGCCTCCGCGGCGCAAGGTCAACAGCCCCAGGAAGCTGTGCAAATACGTCCGGAGCTCCCGGATGACAAAGACGCTCCAAATCCTCGACGAAAAAACCAGAGGAACCACTCACTTGCTGAGTGGATGGCCCAAAAAAAGGTGCAAACTGTTTTTTATATTTACCACTAAAATGGTCTTCCGAGAAAAAAATAAAGAAACAGTTTGAGGTTCATGAACTCAGGCAGTGAGACCACTGAGTGAAAACACTGGCAAATCCTCCGGTCATTCTAACCAGTCCGCCGGTTAAATTTCCGTAGAACTATGACACAAAATGAGGGGTGAGTGATGGGTGTGCGCGTATGGGTGACTTCCACGTGAAAAGGGGGCTGCGTGTTTTTGGGTTGGTATCCTTAGGGTGGAAAACAGTCAGAAGGCAACCACCCAATTTGTTCCCCTGTTTTGGCACACCCGCATGGGCTTGTCTTTTTTAGGGTACCCCTTTGTTTAGTTGCAAAGAAAAAAAACAAAGGGACAACCACCATTTTCCTTTCTTTGGTGGAGGGGGTCACCAAAACAGACGCACCCATGAGAGAATTTGCGGGTGATGGGACCGTTCCTATACCTCTGGCTTACACAACTCTGTTGGTTGTGCCCACTACTCACTGAGGAAACGGTTGGTATGTACCCCGTGGCCATAGTGGCGGTCTCAACCCTGGGGCATAGTGAAAGCCATTGCAAAAAGGGTCATGACCAACACCGGTTCCTGGATCCTCGGTTGGGCAAATGCATCATTGGAAGTGACAATGCGGCCTTAACCTCTGTATTCGAGTGGATTACCCACAGATCTTGACTTTATTCCAAGCCAACGGCCCCCACGCCTGTTGTGTCCTTTGGGGTTGGACCCAAGAGATGGTACCTGGAAGCCGAGATGCATGTCCCATAGAGACAAAGGCAAGAAACTAAGGTCAGGTTGAGGGCCCCAACAGCCCAGGAACCCTTAGCCTGGAACCCTCCTTGAAAGCCGCCCCAAACCACCCCAAAGCCTGTTTAGGCAGAGACTCCACAGAAATTCAGCTGGGGAAAACACTCATGTTCTGCGGAAGCAGGTGCTAAGGCACATGCTTCACAAGCAGTGTTGCAATCTAATGGTTGGATGTATGGTGTACGGCTAATATGAAACCAAGATGAAGTTGTAAGGTTGTTTGATATACCCTTTCCCCTTCCACATACTAATACAGAGCCTTACTATGGCCGCGAATTGTGTGGGGAGGATATGTCCTGGTGGAAAACCTCCATACCTCCACTACCTCACAATTGAGCATCCACAATCCTAATCTGCAATCCGCCGCGGATTGCAAACCTGGCACAAGGATTAAACTATTGATATTAGACCTCCCTGCAAAAACCATGGGACACTTCAGAGGGTAGGGTGTTAGAAGACCACCCCTCTCCAAAAAATAATAAGCCCAGGCGACATCCCCAAGAGCCCCGCAACGCTTTGGAACCCTGCCCCTGCCTGACAGCTGCTCCGAACCACTCCAGAGACCCCACAGCTTTCAGAAGAAAGAAGACCCGGCACAAACGAAACTCATACCCCCAAACCCCCTTTCTTCCCCCCCCCTCCCCAAAAAACAAAAAACAAAACACCACACTGCTTGCCACACACCGACCCCCCCCAGTTTTGGTGAACGTAGGGTCCAGGCACCCCTAAGATTGGGTCTTCCCTTGGCCTCCCTTGAAAACCAACCCGATGTGTGGAGACTCTGTTCCGTAGTTGTTCACATTTAAACATACAAAGCAGAATCTCCGCAAAAGAGTCTTCACTAAGCAAACAAGCAGCTTCAAGCACTACGAACACTGTTTGCTTCTGTTCTGAGGCCCCAGAAAACCTCCCGCAGCCAAAGCCCAGACATGAAATTTGCGGCGAGGATCAAAATGCAGAGCATGCACAGCACCGCTCCGGGCCGGAAGCCGTCCGTGTTGAACTGATCCGGCTGCAAGTTTAAGTAGCTGTTGATCTCCTGGCTGGTGATTGGACACCTCCATTTGGCTGTGGCTCAAAAAACCAGAATTCCACAATGGAACCCTGGTAAGTGGAAACATGGACCAAAACCTGCGCAAACCCCTCCTGTGTAATTTTGAGCCACACCCATTTTGCGCGTTTGCTTGTTGGTAACTTTGCCAATGGCCATCCCCTGCTCATTTGCTCGTCCTAAACAACTAGCCAGCTGGTGAATGTCCAACAGGATCGAAAAGCGCTTCCATTCAGCCGAAGCTAGCAAAAAAGGTGTTGAAGGTAGGTTGAAATAAAGGAACCAAAGAGCGAGCTGAGAATTTCGGTACAGCTCCCAAACCTTCCAAAGGACCTCTCCAATGGCTCCTTTCTGATGCTTGGGAACCGGATCTTAAACTCGGGCTCCAACTTCCGAGGAGTCGTTTTTGGCGGATACCCATTTTGGGGCTGGGGGGTCCAAGGGAAAAGTTGGAACAACGAAGCTCCGGATTGGGGTCTACGCAAAAGACATACTGGTGTGGAGACCCAAAGATTCCGATCTGAAAACATGCGGCTAAACTGGGGGGTTATTTGGGTGTGTCTTTTTTAGGGATCCCCCAACATGATGGGTTTTCCTTTTGAATTCCCCTTAAAGTCAACCAAATGGGGCTTCCCCGAAAAAAGGGACGAGCCACCAATTTTCCCTTTTCAACCTCTTAGATGACTGGGCTGTCCTCAGATACGCCAAAACGGTTGAACTTGTGGGTTGAAGGGAAAACCCAAAAGACGAAACATCTTGGTTCCCGGGCATCAGGTTCCTTAGGTCCTTTGTTTGCTTGTTGGGTTTAGCGACTAAACCAAAAACAGCCAAGAACCTAGCTAGGTCCTGCAGATTTGAGAGGTTCGAAGAAGGGTCCCCTTTTTTCCTATTGTCCATTTTAGTAGGGGAACCCTCCCCAAACAATTTAAGTAAAAGGGCACTACTGGGGGACCTGGCTAAGGAACCGGATGGCCGGGAAAGCTGGGTCACTCCGATCACATCGCCGGCGCGGCGAGCCGAAACTGGAGCCTCCACCAGGGAGGCTTGGGCGTTGGCCACGATCAGCGCCCCGTCCTGGCGAACAAAAGGAAAAGAAACAACCGGGCAGGGTGAAACAAATACATTTCTAGGGGACACTTCCCCATTCTTTCCAGGGATCCTTCTTTCCAGAAAGCCTAGGGGTTGATTCCTCAGTATTCTCAACACCAGTTCCCCCTGGAGTTCTGATGGTTTGCTGGAAAGAAGGATCCCTGGAAAGAATTGGGAAGTGTCCCCTAGAGAAACAAATGCATTGGGGGTGTGGGATTTTGAAAACAGGGGCTGCCTGGATTTCGCCCAAAAAAGTTGTTCACTTTGTTGGTGGTGTCCATTGAAATGAGCGCCACTTTGAGAGGTTCCAAAAAGGGAAATGGAGGAAATACTGCAGAAGGATAATCTTGCTGGGGTTTGGATGTTTTAGGGGAATGCACATGGGAGACCGCTTATTTTGGCGTTCACCAGATGGGGTCTTCTCAGAACGGTGCTTCAACTCCCATTGTGTGGGTATCTGAAGGGAGCAAAAGGAACCAACCCACTTTGGGGGACACCTACTTTGAGAAACACCCAAATTGAGAAAATGAATCCCCGAGCAAGCACCGTTCATGAGATTGGTCACCCCCGAATCGGATATGATTTCCCAAACTGTTCAAACCAATCCTAAACCGCACACAAACCAAGCCTTTACCTCCGCAAACTAACTCAAAACCCCAAACAAAACCAACCAAACCACCATTGTTGGAGACTGGGGGAATGTGGTAGTGCACTGTTTGTGATTTTGAGGTTTGATATCTTCAGCAAGTTGTACGCTTGCTTTGCCGAAGAGTGTCTGCAACTGCAAGTTCTGAATCAACCAACGGGGTCCTCTACATAGATTGTTATAATATGCTGCTAGTCGATGCTGCTCATTCAAGCCAGAGTAGCTGCAATTATCTTGGCAACTTTCTTTCATGCCTGTTTGACATGAGAATTGAGATGGAATTCAACTATGTTTCCAGTACGAAAAGACAAGCGTGTTGTTTCTGCGAGTTTGGCTGCCCCTTAAAAGGAGTGCACCACCGTGGCACCACCAATCGAAACTCAAGGAAAATGCAATTTCAGTTCTATTCATTCTATTGGTTGACAAGCTTTAAATTAAAACATCTTGTAATTATGATTGAATGAGCAAACACATACTTAAGTAGTCTTAACATACGGCTTCCCTTCCAAGTGGGATTTTAGTTGGGCGTTAAACCGAATCTCATAAGCAAACACAAGCTTATTGTTTCCAATGTTCAACCCCCTCAAACGAGAACCCATGGAACACACAAATTCAATTCCAATTGGGTTGCAAGTTTTAAATGGGATTTTGAGTAGAACTCACTTCACATTCTTATTTGCCTTAGACTTAAAATAGTAGGCCCCTTCCAAGTAGGAGTTCAATTACAGTTACATTAGAACTCGTACTTTGATTTAGGTGTCGAATGGGACTTTCTTCTGCCACATATGAGTTCAAGTAGTGTTCAAATAGAATTCACATGTTGAACTAGACAATAAACAGGATTTCCTTCCAATTCCAGAAGGAACTTCTTTCCAAAGCTTGATAAGACTTTAAATACAATTATATAGAATCTACTAAAGAACGACTTGCTGGTTGCTTCTTCTAGGTAAATCAATCACATCTTTATTGAATAACATTTTAAATGAGACTTCCTTTCCATTTAATTAGATGTTAAAAAACATTCAAATATAATATTGTGAGGAAAGACAAGCTGGTTGTTTCGTCTAGTTAATTTACATAGACTTAGTACACTTAGTTCGATGTTTAAGACGAGTTACATTCATGAGTTGAAACAGATTCTGAATAGGAATTGCATTGCAAGTAGGATTTCGATTCAAATTCAAATAGAAATTCAATAGAACCTAGTAAGCAAAGGCAAGCTGGTTGTTTCCTCCAATTTGCCTAGAGAAATAAACAAACTCGAGATAACCAAACAACAAACATAAATCGAAACAAACAAGGAACAAAAAACAAAGAGAACACCGCAAATCAACAATAACACCGACATAACAATGTTTCTAGAATATTCAAAAAACATGAGCTGTTTTGCAAAGAGTGTCCGCGGATTCTGATTTTCTCGAGATTTGCTTTGTTTTCTCCAATCTGCTTGGGTTTTGCTTTGGCTTGTTCAAGGTGTTTCCCCTTGCGTTGGCGCCTGCTCTGCATTTTAGAGGGCAGCTCCCCAAACCAACCCCAACCCCAAACTACCCCATCCAAACCAAGGGGAATTCTAGATCAAAACCAAAAGCGAATATTCACGACTTTGCACTACTATGTTCAGAACCCCCCATGCCCCAAATTGCCCAGAGGGTACTGAACGACCCCTTTTCACCCCCCAAAAGCCCCATTCTCCTGAGGTACCAAGGGACCCTAGAACCCTCGAGCCTGAGTGAGCCTGAAGGATTCACGACTTTTCACCACTCTTTTCAGAACCCCATCCCCCAAAAGCCCCATTTTGAGAACCCCCCCCCCGCTCGAGCCCTCGAGCCAACGAGCCGAGCCTGGCCGCAGACCCGGGAGGCCAGGCTGGTGCCCGCGAGGTCCAGGTGCCGCGCGTCGTGCGCCACGAAGGAGCGCCAGAGCCGCGCCGCGGACTTCTTGGACTCGAAGGGCTCACCCAAGAAGTCCTCAGAAAGGAAAGAAAAACAAACAAGAAGAAAAAAAGAAGAGACAAAAACTTGCGGCGCGCCTTGACGCCAAGACTTCGATAAAAGAAACAACAGAAGAAGAAAAAACAACTCGTCCCAGCGCCTGAACGCCAAAACGTACATGAACTTGGATGTTCTTATGCTTTTTGTGCTTGTGATTATTTATTCTTTTTGTTTGGAGGGGGGGAGGTTGTTTGTGTTGTAGTTTGCTTTGTTGCTTGTTTTCTTGTGGGGGCGGGGGGGAGGGGGGAAATGCCCAAAGATAGATGTCCTGTTTTTTGAAAAGGGGGGAAGAGGAGGGACATGCCCTTAGGAGAAGACCAACTAAACCGTTTGTATTTTGGGGTCACACCTTTGAAGGATACGGATTTGGATCCTGCACAAAAAATACAAATATTGGCTTCGGTTTCCCCTCCAATTCCAACGCGGGTCACTGCAGGTCCTCTTCAATAGTTGCACTTCAATATTTGCTTTTCAGTGAAACTGCCCGTTTTGGAGACTCCGGAACAGGTTTTGGAGAAACTGTCCACGCAACAAACACTCCCAGCCGACTGCAATCAACTATCAGGTGCCTGCTGTACTCCTGAGAAACGTCGGCTTCCTCAGTAGAAGGGGGCTTTCGGGGACACCGCCCTCCAACCGGGAGGACTTGAGTTGACGGGTGAAAACATGAGCCAGCCCTTCGTGTTTTTTTTGTCATCACACATTCTGGGCTGGAGTTCTCTCAGAATCAGGAAACCCCAAAACACTTCATGTCGCGGTTCCCTTTCACCTAACTTAAAAAATGGTACTACTCAAACCAAAAGGCACCCATTTAGCTCTCGTATGAGACCTGTTCCCCTGGTTTCCCTTCAGCCCAACTCAAAAATGGCTGTGGCTCAAAATTAAACAGGAGGGGTTACGCGTGTTCCCACTTATCAATGTTCCATTTCGGTACCCGTTTTTGAGCCACCGTCCTCCGACAAGATGACACCCAAGAACAGGATCTGCACCACCAAGTTCACCAAGGTCAGCAGCCCAGCGATGAAGCTGTCCAGAAACCCGTTGAAGACGCTCCGCTCCAAGCCCACGACGAAGAAGACACTCCACACGCTCCTGGGCGTTCGTTGATTCTCCACACCCCGAAACGTTTGTTCCTTTTTGAAGCCATCCTGAAAAACCCAAAAAACATCCGCAGACACCCGGGCTCTTGTGGACATTAAAAATCGGTGGCGCAGACCCAAGTTCGTTTCTCAGGCCCTCGTGAAACCGATTTCTTGTGTGCCAACCACTCAGTGCCAGGAAAGCTGGGAATTCACATGGCTGATGTCAAAATGGTGGCTCCCAGCTTTGTAGCGTAAATCGCCATTCCATTGGGGGCCCGTATCATTCGGGCCATATGATCACGTAACCGTTGCGGCACAATAGGTTTGACTAAGAAACGTGCAAATGACTGACAGGCGCACTAGCGCGGGCCTTTCTCAGCTGCTGTCGGATGAGCTATACGAGCTTTTACAGCTGCTGATATAGGATATTTTACCAGACAAGAAACCCCCAAGTTCTACACCACATCTTCGGCAAGTAACAAAAAGGAATTGGTTCGTACTACGGGAAGACAGATTTACTTATCGCAGACGCAGCACTTCCGCTTTGCGAGCAAGGAATGCCTCGAGCCCTGAGAGCGACCGGACAGAAGAACCATGCGTGCGCATCTCACATGCCACGTCAACCAACGTCCCTGATCTAGTGCCGAGCTAGCGCGAAGCTAGCCCAGCCAGCGGGATTTGCATGATTTAGGTGCGGGCACGCTTCATTTCGAAAAGGAAAAAACAAGGTGCAACAGGAATTATGCACATACTGTGTATAGCTCCTTAGCCGGCCTGTTTGAACGGAAGCCACATACCCGCCAAATCCGTGGGACCTAATCAACTTACTTCCGATCGAGTGGATTGACAAAAACAGGTCCCCAACTTTTGTTTACTACTAAAATCACTCCAAACAGTTTAAAGCCCCAGGAGCTCAAGAAGTGAGGCAAGCTCTCGACAACTCGATATCGCCCGAGCTTGCTAGCTGGTTTCTACCGGATATTCCGCAGGATGATCCAAAGCAAGCAGGGAAACTATTTCACTTCCCGAGTGGATTGGCCGAAGAACGCCTCAACTTGTATGCAACTAAACTCATTGTTTCTAAGCTGGGCTCCAGAGAATTCTACCGCAAGCGCAATGAGTGTGGATCATCTTCCTGGAGCAACTCGAAGCCTTGTGGCTCATCTTCTTTCAGCCCTCTGACGTTGTCCTTTTCACAGGACCCCGGAAAAGTAATATGGAATCTGACAAAAGTCGGTTTTGGAGCAATCTGCACTCGGGCCCTTTCCTGGGTTACATGTCATAGGTGACCTCCTGTGCGCAAGGAAACTCACTGACAAATGGCCATAAGGTTTTATATTGAAATCCCGGCCAGGGGAAATCTTATGAGCCCGGGGCAGGTACTGGTTTCCATGTCAAACTTGGGTTGCAACACATCAATTGTCTGCCCCCAAAAACCGGCAGTTGCTCATGTTTTTTTCTCCCCTATGGTGGCGATCAAAGACCAGTCATAGACATCCCATGAAGGCGGGGAGGGGCTCTAGCGCCTAAGCCCTGGCAGCTATTGCCAAGGCCTTAGGAGCCTTTTCCTGGCTTACCACACTCGAGGTCCACCGATTCTGCAGAGGAGCTCGTCCACATAGACTTCAAGCACGCCCTGACCGTCGACTTTTGGCTCCTGGGTGCCCCCGAATTGGTCAACCCATCCTAAGAGTAGGGAGTTCCACTAAAAGGAATCAAGCAGGGGCTCTGCGCAAAATCCGGGGTTCCCAGTGGTCCGGGTGAACCCAAGAGTTAGGCACCGGGGGTGAAGCTCTGGGGGTTGGGTTAAGGCTTGCTTTAGGCGAATATCCGATGCTTTTCGAGCCTTCCGACGGAAGGCTCGAAAAGCCGCCTACGAAAGCCCAAAACCCAAACTGAGGTAGAAAACGCTCAAGTTGGAGACAAACCCAAGCCGAACAGACCTACTGTGGATGGACAAAATCCTGCACCACTTTGATAACACGGGAAACCATTATTTGCTGGTATTTGCAGGGGAATGATCATTCCAGGGTCTCTTAGGTGGTGCAGGATTTCGTCCATCCACAGTATGGCATCCAGTTGTAAGATAAACCCATGGTGACCTTCCTCTTCTCTGTGTACCCTAAAACGGACGCACCATCCCCAAGCATACCAACTCAAGAGGACACGCCCTAGGCTGGTACAGCTCGTCGAAGCGGACTGGGAGCTTTGGGACCTCAAAATGGCGCAAGTTGCCATTTTCAGGTACCCTTGGAGTCTTAGCATAGGCATTGCAAGTCAAAGCCATTTGAACCCCGTCCTTTTCTGACTTCTCCGACTTCTCCGACTGCAGCGACTTCAGCGACTTCTCCGACTTCTGTGGCTTCTTCTTTGGCTCGTCCGAAGCTTCGGCGACGGCTTCTGCGTGGCCATTGTCCTCACGTCCAGTCACCATCTCAGAAACCAAAGGAAGCCTCTCGCACTGTTTTTGACCGGATGCCCTTTTCGCCTTCAGGAAACCAAAAAAGGAGCCCCCAAAATAAATAAATAAATAAATAAATAAATAAATAAATAACAAAAAACACATAGGCGGTTCCCCTAGTCAAACTCATCTCGAGGTTCTCCGTTCTAAGCAACCAGCGAATTCTACATAGGCGACCTGCCGGGAGAAAACAACCCTCGCTGGCATAGGACAGTTACCATAGCACCCCAAAGATTTGGCCTTGCTTGACCATGGTTCAAGAGGCAGGGGTCAAAACATCCATGCTTGAAGATAGGGTCAACTCCACGGGTGAACTGTGGGAAATGTACAAAGTCCCCCCTCCCACCAACAATTGCCTACAGACTGCCAAATCCAATACGCATCATGGCCAACACTCTGAAGGATTCCATGACCATTTCCCTACCAATTTGAGATGGTTACAATGGTTTACGTCGCAACTACAAGAGCAAGCCAGGCCCTAGAACCTCTCAGAAGCTCAAAGGACCTGGACATAGGTGATCACTTGGAACCTTGACCATGGACCAAATCAGGGAAACCAGAAGGTGAGCAAGGGTGACTCTCTTTTTTTTGCAAGTGAGACCTGCAAACAGGAGCATGAGGCCGCTGTTTGGCCGGCTTTCAAGTCTTGAAGGGAAACCCAGCAAAAAACAAAACAAAACACGCCGCGCCCATTTCGGATGCGCCCAACACGAGCCTCCGTCTCCTCGAGGATGATCCCTCGGTCCTCCAACACACTGAGGCGCTCCTGGAGCCGACGAAGAACCACCCCGAGGAAAAAGGGGGTACAAAGACTAGGTCCTCCAGTAGAGAGTTTAGACTAAAAATTCCAACTTTTTTAGATTTTGTCTATTTTTAGTAGGGGAGCCCTCCCCAAAAAAAGTGGTAAAAGGGCACTGACTGGACCTAGGAGATCCAGTTTCCCTCAAAACGGCGGGGCGTTTTGGAGCCCGGTTTGGTGCTCAAGGACATTCTCCCCGTGTACCCTCTAAAAGAACCAGGGGTTCAAATCTCCAAATCCAAACCACCGGGCTCCAAACCATCAGGTAGGGGATACCTGATTGGAGTATAAACTCAGGGCATCTTGTCGTTTGAGGGTTCCCTTTTGCTGGGTGGTTTTTTAAAGAGAAGTTCAACGGAAAACGCCAATGCCGTGGGTTTCCTCAAGAAAAACAGCCCCAAATGAGAATATGGCTGTGAGTCAACACTGCTACCCAAATTCCCGTTTAAAATGGTCAAACATTGAATGTCTTTGACCATGTCGAAAACCTCTCAATTGGGGATCCTGAAACTGGCATGTTCCACGTGAAGCTTCATGTCCAGCTGTGATTCAGAATATGATTTACATTTGTCCCCCTGTTGGTTTCTACAAGAATCAATCACTGGAAACGTGTGTTTTCAGTTTCTCAAGGGGACGGAAAAAAAAGAAAAGGGAGGATTGCCAAGAATCTTCCTTGACCCTGTGACCTCATGGTGGGGGAGTGTGTCCATCAACAAATTCTCACAAGTCGACTCAAATTCTAACAAATTCTCACAATCAACAACATCTCACAAATCTTAACCAGTCAACTTTGAAATTCTGACGCATTTTCTGAGACTAGCTGGGAATCATTTTCTGAGACCCCACTGGTTGGACTCCTAGCTGAAAGGAGCAGGAGAAAACCTCAGCCTGTGTCAACCTTGACCACCTGCTTCTTTGCCTCTGGACATTTCCGAGACGTAAACCCCAAAAGGTTGGGAACTCCACTACTTGGTCGAGTCGAGCTTTACTCTTTTGGAGACGAAGGGATCCTCCTTAAAAAGGCCTCTCGGAATTTCAAGCTCGAAAACTCATGCATCAAACACATCTGCATGGCCAGAGTCAGCTTCCCCGAAACAACCCGGCGCGTCAAATTGTTTTCCCCGCTGACTGAATAAAACAGTTGCCAAAATGCCATGCTTGTTGCGAAGATGAACATTCATAACCCTTGAAAGTCAAGATGGGCCCTGTCAAGTCCCGAGCCCCGACAAAAAGGGTTGTGGATGGAATTCGCAGAACTTGCTGTTTTGTGGCCCTTGAGACACCAAACCAAAAGGAAAGCAAACACAATGGAATCCAGAGCTCAAAGCGTAGCTCCCTTTTAAGCGACAGGAAGTCCGGCATTGGAAATGCTTCTCCTGAACTTTTTGAAGCTCGTGCTCCAAATCCCGGAAGCGCTGCTGGATCACGTCTTCCATTCCGATGGATCCGACCGAGTCTCCGAGTCGAGGGTTGCCAAGCCCAAAACGGGATCCGACTCAAAGGCTCCCAACTGATCGGCCTACGTCGAACCCTGGGGCCTCTGGGGCCTCGCGTCTAGTGAGTTCCTTCCGGGGAGTCCGATCCTGGCAAAAACCATGCGGCCGTTTCCATTTGAACGATGCACCATTCAGGTTGGACCTATTTCTTAAGCCATGAGTCACTGCCGGATGGTGTGCTTTGTTGCGGCTACCCTTGCTAAAGGGCAGTTAAAGCGAAAATCGCAAAACTTCTACTTGATTCAGGTCACTAGAACAGATGAACAACATGTTTCCAACAGTCCCTTGGTAACCAACCTGGGGAAAACCAACATATTCTGAAACGCAAATGGAGGGCTGGCTGAGTCAGATGGGTCGATGGCTAGATGATGGCGTCAGATCGAGTCGATTCTACCAACTTGTGTCTGATGGCGCTTTGAGCCCAACTGTCGGTCCGGACGAAGACTGGCAGGATTTGGGTGTGTCGTTCTTGGGGCCCCGCAGAACGGGTGGCTCTCCATCTGGCTTCAATGAAAATCAGCCCAAAGAGGGCAACAAGAGGACATATCCATTTGAGAACTAACCTTCAGCTCACTTCATCATGCTTTCTGGAAGATGGCGATCACATCCCAGAATAACTGTCTGACTGGAACCATGGCACACTCAGTTCCTGGGAGGATTGGCCAAACCCAGTCGATGCTTTCTGCTTACCACTAAAATGGCCCTCCAAACAAGTGTAAAGTCCAGGAACTCGGGGAGTGAGGGTCTTGGGACTTGATTTAGGCTTTGGAAAGGCAAAATACACCAGGCGAGCTAGCCCAGCGAGGCTGGATTTTTTCCAAACGGGGAGGTGGAAGTTCGGAATCCCGATCCGCAACCCGGAGTGGGACACGGCAAGAGGACAGCCATCTGACCATCTGACTCGCGGATGGCTTTTTTGAATCCACCCGCAGAATGGACCCACCGGAGAGGTCGAATCTCAGCTTGAGGGGGGCTTGTAAGGGATAGCCCCGTGGCCCCCCCTCGGGGGGTCCATGAATGATGCAGGCAAATGGTGAGCATTGACCGCCCCAACTGTTTCTCCTTCAAAGGCCAAGTAGGGTGCCCGCCTGACAATAGAAGCGGGGAAGCGATACATGAACGCTGGAAATCAAAGATGCCAATCCTATTGCAACCGGCTCCTTTCCAACCTTTAAGTGGGGCCTGCAATCAACGTGGCATGGCTTGCTGCGCGTTAAGATATTTGCGCCAGTTCAGATTGTCGCATCAAACTTGCTCACACTGCCCAAATTTGCTTGCACACCTCCGCGGCCTGCAGCCTCTCAAGAAAGGTGCACGGTGCGTTCGAATGCAGCAAAATCAGGTTTTGGTTGTCATCCCCCCTCTCCGGATCATTCAGCGTTTTGCCACACCAAAGGCGCTGCCTGCAGCTGATTGGAGTTTTTGGCAGCAGGTGTTTCTCACGTCCTGATAAACAGCATGTCGCTGCGCTTGTTTGGCTCTGGGCACTTCAATTCATGAAGCAGTAACGCCGCTTGCTGCCTAAATCGCGCACGCTTCTTACCAAACCCTGCGCAAACAGCTGCAATGGTGCCTTGCAGTCCAGATTATGAAGAGACATGTTTTCTAAGCCAGGTTGACGAGCTTGTGGCGAAAGAATGCTTGCTCAGTGGGCTTGGGTCACGATTGGTGAGATCTCCTCGCGATATCTCCTTAGGACGAGTGTCGTGTTATGAGTCGGGCTTTTGGCCATGCCATCATCTCTTCTCTTGTATTGTTTTTTTTTTTATCTCAGGTAAGCATCAACACCGCAGGGCGCCATATTGCCGTAAATAAAGTACATCGTGTTTGTCTTCAGAAATATTTAGTTTCTTGAGGTCTGCGCGTCACTTACCTAGCCGGGAAGTTGGCGTCGCTCCCCGGCACAAGTAAGTAGCGCAGACAAGGCTCTCGACACAGTGACGCACAAAGATGATGGTTTGCTCATTGCGCGCTGGGCCGGTAACGAAGCTATCCAATCAAAATCTTAACAGTCAGTGATTAAAACGAGGGGCGGGCAAATTCTGAACAATTCAAGACGGCTTTGAAGCTTTGAAGCACGATAAACCTCGTGATTGCGTCAAAATTAAATAGGCCGGTGTTTGCAAATGACGGCGCGGCGCAGCCGCCCTGCTGGTCGTTGGCGACTTCGTGCGGGTCGGGGGAGGGGTGGGGTTAGGCAGGACTTAGGGTGTTCATTGCTTTGTTTCAGCGAGCAATTTTCTTGGGCGTGGTGCTGGCATCTCAACAGTTGATCAGTTCCAGGCGTTGCCTGTTAGTTTTGCTTCACATTTCACTTCGCGGCGCATGCTTTTGCTACAGGAAGTCAGATAAATTCAGGTGTAGTTGCAACCCCTTTTGTGACCTGCAACCGCCTCAAAAACTGAGCCATCGCGACAACCTGCAGGCAATAACATTGACTGTTTGATAAGCATCCGCCGCTGCGCCACCTCAAGTCTTGAGCTTAATATTCGGAGAGCGGCGCCAGAAAATAACATGCCAGTGCATTGCTCGAGGCCGCATCCAGGAGAAACCGCACGTTATGTCAAAAGCAAGTCAGTGTTATTCTGGAGAGCGTCAGTCTGTCCCAGACAGGCGGGTCTCACTGCAGGTGGTCATTAGCCGGCATGTGAGGGAAAGCAACGCGTTCAATCCAGGGATCGTTGCTAGTTTGTTTCGCTCGTCTTCAAGCAACCTCGCAAGCAGCAGAATAACCCAAGTTGATGTCAAATTGGACTGCGTGATGCGCGTTACCATGTGTTACTCATCTGCTCGTTGCAGTGGATTTCGTGTTAATAAGCTGACACGCCCTCTAACCAGGCAATACACTACACGCGTGTGGACCAGCACTTGCTCAAGCCATCGCGTCAACTGTTTCTAGTTAGCGCAACCTAAGCAGCTTCAGAGCGGTTGCCCATAGCGTGCGCAATGCGCATAGTTGCTATCTCACCTGGCTGGCCGCGTGTTGAACTCTTTTGGAGAGTCTTTCACTCTAGGCTGGGCCCTGGGAATTGATGAAGCTTTGCTAAACTTGTTCTGGTTAGGTCTTGTAGCGCCCTTTGCAGATCTGCATTGCCCACGCAGGCTTGGCGGGTATTGGGCAGGGCACCAACTTCTTGAAGAAATGATGAAGCACAGGCTTCCGAGGCTACCTGCAAAGCATCTTTGCCTGTCAACGCCGGGCAACCAATCATACTTTCACCGTGCGCCAGCAGGCTCCAATTGCGATTGGTTTTCCACAAAACCAATCACACGCAGAAAGGCTAGAGCAAAATCAATCACGCTGTGGCCTGCTCTGCCGCGGTCCCGACAATGATTGATCCGTTCTGGAAGTAGGAAAATGCGATTGGTTTTCCAGAAACCCAATCACAATTCTGCTTGGTTGCATGTAGTCCGCGGTTTGATTGGTTCCTCGGGCTGGCCAATTCCATTCGGCACGCCGGATTGCGACGGGTTTTCCAGAAACCCAATCACAATTTGGCAGCCAAATTGTCCACGGCAACCCATCACCCTTCACCAGCCAAAATTTCAGTCGGCACCAATCACTGCAGGCCAGCCAAACCCACCTGCAGCCAAACGCAGGCGGACATTCCTGTAGCCGACCCATGTGTCCATGCAACCGTTTCCATTTAAGGTGTTGCGAAATGGTCCACATCTTGATCAGACCACGCACGCTTCCACGACAGCGGGCTGCTTCTTCAGCCCCATTCACACAAGGTTGACACGAGCATGACCACAGACCACAGCAGGTTGGCTAAACACAATCTCACAAAACGCGTTTGTGCCTGCAAACTGACCCCTGGCAAAAACTGATTGACTTCAACGCGCTACGCTTACGTGACTGGCTTTGCCAGGCAGGCTGCTTGTCACCTGAGCGCATCAGAACTTATCGCTCCTGAAGTTGGATTTCTTTCTTGCGCAGATTGGATATTTGCCGCTGGTGCTGGCAAGCGATACTGCTATAGACGTGATAAAACACAGTGTCGCAATGGTAGCTATATCTCTGATTCTGCTATAGGTACTTTTTGCGGCCCCGTGCAACGAACCAAGACAAAACGCAACAGTGTCGCGCTCCATCATCTTCGGTTTTGCTGGTAGTGAGCAGAGCGTTTGCGTGCTCCGGAAAGGTTTGCTGAGACTCAACACAGGTGGTAGGGATGCTTGCTAAGTTCAGCCAAAATGCTCAGTAGTGCTGCAAAGGTGGTTGCTGCTTGCCAATAACATTCCGAGGATCAATTAGCAGACTGGCCTCAACCGCTCGTCATACTCTCTATTGCTACAAGCGCCCTTGACATTGTTAATTGTGTCTCTGGTAAGCTTGTCCTCCATTCCAACGCAGAGCGCGGGAAGTGTGCTGAGGAATCAGGACCGGGCTGGCCATGAAGAAGTTTAAAGAGAGCGGCAAGGGCAAAACAAAATGGAAGGGTGGGCTCCCTGCCTCCCTCCCGTCATTTCAAGCGCAGAGACAAACAAGCCGAGACAGCACTGCCCGAAACATACGCTGGTGTGGTTGTTTTAGGAGGCGAAGGCTGAGAGTCGCCGCCCTGAGTCCCAAGTCCGAACAACTGTCGCGGAGAAAAAGATACATGGCAATAAACCCACAGCGTGCGCGTTGGCGCACCGTGTGCCACAATCTAGTACACCCCCGCCCCACCCGCCAAGTGCGCCAAACGCGCAGAAGTCATTCTGAGCTACCAAGCGCGCAAGGCTGCTACCAGCAAGGGTCCGAACGCGCCAAGCCTCGCAAGTTGCAATGTTTCCGAAGGGAAAGGAGTCAGCGCAAAGAACTCCTGAAGATTTGGGGGCATCAACCTTGCAAAAGTAAGGTAAAGGTGCTGTGCAGCCCAAGGACACGCTCGCGCGCGCAAACGTTGATACACATATGCCCGAACAACGCGCTTGCGTACGCATGTCCCTACACGCATGCCTCAACTGCAGCAACCCGAGCCACGTTTGGAATCTGCCTCAACACGCGCTTCGGTGAGCGCGTGTGTAGGTATGACTGCCAGCGTGCGTAGTTGTCACCCGAATGCATGTCTAGGCGCTTTTCTGCCCCTATGCATGTCGTGTTTGCGGTTATTGGCTAAAAGGGCAACGGTGCGCGAAATAATTACAGATGGTCACTCAGCACTGGGATGGACACGCTATGCCTGAAGTACTGATGTGTCTTTGACATTGACACCCCTAGCGTGCGCATTTACGATGAATTAGGTCATGTCAGTAACCCATGTGGGTAGGCCCGAAGTGCCCGCGTACACCTTTTCCAGAGTACTCTGGGAACAACTACCGCGACTTCAAGGCGTTGTGCGTTTGGCAATGTTGGCTTCCTTCTTTCTACGGCTTCCGTGCAAGGGGTGAAGCAGGCCAAATGAAACAGGTTAGAGCTACAGGAGGAACAGTTCCGCACGCCCTGCCCGAAAGACCCAATTCATAAATGGAAAGGACCCAGTTGCAGCAAGATTGGCATAAAGGTGAGCTCACCCTTTGGAACCTGGACGTTCTTTTGGGAATCCAGCGAAACTGACCCCAGTGAGCTCACCTTTCCCTTGAGAAACCTCACATATTTGGTTTCATCGGAAGCCGCTTCTCAGGCGAGGGATCCGGTCAACTCGCTTGTGAATCCTCTCGCATGCCCTCCTTCAAGTGCTGGTACCATAGGTACCATGGATCCCTTGGCTTCTCAGTCCACCAAATCCTTCAACCCAAGGATGCCCCACCCTGCATAACCAAGTGACACAACGCTCTCGAAAGGGAAGCTGCCCCACTGGTGCTGACTGAGCGACTTCGCTGGGCAGTTTGCTTGATTTTACAATCGAAACCCTCTCCAGAAAAAAGAAGAAGAAGAAGAAGAAGAAGAAGAAAACAAACGGCACACCACTGAAGTCAAGGGATGCCAATGAACTGTGGTTTTTCACAACTAAACTCGTCCCGGCAAGAGTGGCCAACAAAGGTCCGGTATTTCAGGGAGTGAGGTGCTGCGTTTGCGTGCCCGTGGTCTTAGGTGGCCTTGGGGAAGTTCTACACCGCTGGCATCCTCCGGCTCGCAAGGCCCCTGCTCGAAACCCACCGAGCGACACCGCTCGAAGGCGCGAGCGCCTCCGAGCGCAGCAGGGCCCAGCTGCGCAGCGCCCGGCGCCACTTCACGCTGCGCAGGGCCCGCAGGAGCCCCGTGGCCGCCGCCGGATCTCCAAGAAACCACCAAACCACCCCCCAGGGTTTGTTTTGTGTGTGTCTCTCTGTTTTTCGGGCATGGGAGGGGGTGTTCTTTTTGTTTTTTGTGTTGTTCGTGTTGTGTTGTTAATGCTTGTGTGTGTTGTTTTGCTACTTATTTGGAGAGGGTGGGTCATGGCTATACAGCAGCAGCAAATTCCAACCTGCTGCGCAAGCAAGCCAGATCTACAACAGATAATCTTGCTTGGAAATGTTAGGAACCCGGCTTTGACTTCCAGAAAATTGTCCTATAGCTAATTCCTTAAATTGATGGAACACCCCCGAACTGTGGATGGACAAAATCTGCGCCAGCACCAGTTGGGAGTGGTGGTTTATCAGCCCGCATTCAAATCGTGTTTCATCCATACCTATGCGTTCTGTGGAGTTGGTCCATCCGCAGTATGGAGACGCAGGGTTCCCTAGGGGAAGCCCAAAGGAGGGCTGATTGAATCTGTCGTGGGTTACAAGGAGTTGAGGCCCAACGCTGACATACATCGGGCCTAGCTTTATAACCTTGTCTTTGTGGTATTTGGCTTTCAGGGCTGCAAAATGATGTGTCCACACGGCACGGTGCCGCCATACACAAGGTTCTTTTTTTTCCCGGCGAAACCTCAGGGTGGTCGCTTGACCGGTGGATTCGCTAACGCGAGTCCGAGTTCTTACTAAACTTATCTCAAACAAAAACGAAGTCCAGTGTCGAGAAAGCATAGCGAGACCAGCAAGCGTTCGCTGGTTTATAGGGTTCAACGGGTTAAAGGGGATGTTTTTTTTGGGGGTCATTACTTCATTCTCTGAGAACCAGCAAGTTAGGTCCTGCCACCCTTCGAATTGTTGAATTGCCAAATGCGGACTCGGATACGACTTACGCAGCATCCAGCGATGGTTGCTAGCGGTTGAACTCTGGAAAAGATGAAACACAGCGGCGACATATGGCTAAATAATCACACACAATGCTCTCTAAATGAACATGTCTCTCTTGGTGTTCAAGCGTGTCACACTGGTTTCCGTTCGTTTTCCCCCGACATCCGAGCAGCAGTTCAATCAGCATACTTAATAGTAGGAAAATGTAAAGTAAAGCCTTTGAGGTCATGTTCCTTCTTAAATCCCCAGACGAGGCCAGAATTTGCCATATGAGGGGATCTACGCAAAGCACCATGTAAAGAATCGACAGGGCTGATCTTCGCACCTGCGGTTGGGGGCCCAACATGGGTATGAATGTTCATCAGGGAGCTTTTGGTGGACAGCTTGGTGAGACTTGATGTCCGCGCAAAACACCCTGTAAACATTCGACAGGGGCGGATATTCGCACCCCAACATGGGTTTGATGCTAATCAGGGACCCTTTGGTGGATGGGACCTGAGGTCCACCTCCCACTACGGCGGCCTTCCTCTTTGCTTGGTTGCTGTTGACCCCTCTGCAAAAAGTTGAAGACTTTTTGCGGGTTTAGTGGAAAACCCAACTTGATTTCAACCAAAAAATTAAAGTCTAAAGATCCAGCCCAAACTTGGTTGACGTTGGAAGGGGAGCAAAAACAAAAATAGCAGTTAAGTCGGGATTTCCCACTAAACCACAATAAGCAAACAAGTAAAATGTTTCCCAACGACAACCATGCCAATACCAGTGAAGTTTGCACCCTTGCGACTGGACCGATGGCTCGGCCTCCCACGCGATAGCGCAGGGCGGCCTCCCACTGCAGTCCCTCACCTCACGGCAATCGACTCGACGCGCATGGCTCATGTGAGTCACTTGCTCAAAACCCCGCCATGAAAAATGATCGTAATCCCAGAACCATGCTTCAAGAATTAAGAAGGCGGCTGCAACTATCTCTGGCTGGGACTGCCCCGTACTAACCTTCATCTACCCGGGTTTTGATTGTGGGCAATTTTCATTAAGGACCCGGAATGGTGGACATCATTCCGGTGGAGATTTACCCCCCCAAAAAAACAAACGTGGAACCAGAACAGGAAAATGATCCCCTTAAAAGGACAATTGTCTTCATGGAACTCCTGCAGATTCCATGGTTGCTTTCGGGAGGGCATGTCCACCCGGCTGTTGAGGTGGCTCACTCTGAAAATGCGTAGCTCCTGTGGGTGTATCTCACAATGGGAGACAAGGGTGTTGCAACATGAGGTAAGTTCCCTGTCTTGGTCAATGTTCACCCAACACACCTGGGATTTAGACATATATGTTATCATCATGTTGGATTCCCCAAAGACATTCACCCCTACAGGGGTACTCTGACAACAGAAGCGCAAAGAAACATAATGAGACCTGTGAGCTCGAAAATGGAGGACTCTTGGGCAACCACGTTCTTGGCCGATTTCGTTTCCCGGGTTCCCTATCCCAGGGTAAGCCTACGTGTTTCCTTTTTGAGGGTTCTCCCTTTTTTGGGTGCTGTTGAAGAGAAACTAAGACGAAGACCGCAATTTGGGGGTCCCCAAAACAAACAGCACACCCATACTGTGGATGGACGACTTCCTGCACCACTTTGAAACCGCGAGAAACCATTGTTTGTTGGTATTTCCAGGCAATCATCATTGCAGGGCTTCTTAGGTGGTGCGAAGTGGACTTCGTCCAGCCAAAGTATGGGCACCAGGAAAGGCTGCAACGCCGGAGTTGCCTTGTTTTATTGTTGGGTGCTGTAGATCCCCCAGCAAAAAGTGTAACTGTTGCTGGTTAAAAGGAAATATGAGGAGAATCCAAAAAGTTGAAGTCTAAAGATCCAACCCAATAGCTGTACAGTCCTGAGCAACAAGTACCTTGTGTCGGCGTAATGGAACAGCCATTGCCTCAAAGGGGCCTTCGCGGGCCATCCGGTACAAGACCAGGCGTCGCGGAAGCAAAGGGCAGCAACACAAAGCGCCAACCCCCAAACCAATCCCAGAGGACCCAGGTGACTATGGGAACCAGCCTTTGACCAGAAAAATGACGGGTTACCCATGGTTTCTATGGCTTGCCCAGGTTCTGGAAAAGATAAACCATGGAGTCACCAACAGGAGTGTGGTCCAAGGGGGGGCCTGAGGCTCCTGTAAAGCCCTAAGGAACCCCGAAACTTTCCCACTACCCACCCACTACCCACCAACTACCCACCCACTACCCACCCACCCTGTACCTACCCCCATTGTGTGTGCTCCACAAACAAAGCCTCGAACCACGAGCTCCAGCAAAATCCTCCGAGGCGCAGCATGCCGTCAGCTTGGCGCTGAGCGTTACCGCATCCAGCTGCAGAGAAGTCGTTTGGGAGAAGGACGCGGCTCTCTCCCACTGCTGGCCTATGGGCGCCAATCTTGTCAGATGTGAAACAACCGTCTTAAAGGGTGTTCCTGAATATTCGTTCCTGAATGCTTGTTCAACATCATGTTGGTTGTCTTGGCCTCGTGACAGTCGCCAGTTGGGATTGGTGGCACATCTTTCAACTGGTCTAAAGTGGATTTTGTCCATCCACAATAGGTCGTGTCGAAACTATGGAACTCTTTTGGGATGGCTTTTTAATGGAAACAAAAGAGAACCAACCACCAAGAGAGGTTCCTAACTTTGAGAAAACTTCTTAGGTGGCCGGAAAAAGGCGCCCTGTTTAGCAGAGTTCCCTGATTTTCTCCATGTACACCATTAGCCTACCAAAGGGGTGAAACTCAGGTCAAACTGGCGCAAAAGGGGGAGATGTTTAAACCAACTGACACACAGAAACAGGGGGCCGGGAAATGAAAGTGTTCCCTTGTTTGGCTGGATGCTCGTTTTGGGGAGACCAACGACCAGTTTGGAGTCCTTCTAGGAAATGAGGAAAGCCAACAGGGCACGCAACAGGGAAAAGCTGCAACCTTCCATCCCTTTGGCAAGAAACATACACCCGTTGAAAAGCAAGCAACAAAAACCAGCTTCTTTGACTTTAATCCTCAGAAACAGTCTGTTTTTGACCGGGCCCTACCCTCCGGCTTTTCGAAACGGACAAGCTGTAACTTGTTTAACACGACACGGGGGAGGAAGATATGGAAATATGGCTTAACTATGGGAAACCAGCCACAGGACCACCTGTTTTTTTGAAACCACAGCTCGGCTGGTCCGTCCTTGGCCCAGGCCGAAGACCACGGAATTCAGGTGGATCAGATTTAAGCGCATCGCGACCTGGCGAGAACAACCACCACCTGGACCTTCAAACTACCCCAAAAAAACACGGGTTCTTGCCGAGATTTTGGAGCTGAAAATCTCTCGTTTAAAGGAAATTACAGGGTTCAGGAGGGGATTCCAACCCCAGGCCCCAATTTGCTCAGCTGGTCCAGGGGACCTAAGATCAGCTCACCTGGAACGAACCCAAAGGGAAAAACCGTAGAGATGTAAGACCTCATTGATGAAAGGAGAAAATCCAAACACAAACTGCTCTAAGCTAGGGGGTCCTCTTAGTCAGCTGGTGAATCGAATGCGCTTTTGTTTCAACTGGCCCCTACTTGAGGGCCTAGGATGGGACAAAACAGAAAGACCCGAAAGGATAAAAGGTTAAATGGGTGACTCGTGCCGTTTTGAGGGTACCTCCTTTGGTGGGTTTCAAGAAAGCTAAGAGGAAAACCGCAATTGTGTCTCTTTTCTTGGGGCGGGGGGGGGGGCTAAAAACGCACACACACCCAACACGATAAAGGGGTCGGTTCGCTTTGGGGCAACATATCGAGTTTGGTTACCGTAAATGACATGAGAACACGCGTCTTCTTCACCGGGTTTTTGTAGAACATTTGGTTGCTCGCCCCCCGTGTCCCTCCCCGGGTGACCATAGGAGGGAAGGGGTCGCAAAATAGGTATCGGTCCCCTAGAATGGCAAGGGGTTTAAGGGAGTCCGAACCCATTTTGCAAAACCCTCATAGACTACTGGCTATTGCGTCCAAGCCTCATCCGAAAGCTGTGGACTGAATTACTCTTTGAGCAATTGGCGCAGGGTGTGGGGATTCAAAGTGTCCTATGCCTTGGGGGTTGCCTTGCCCAAAGGACCACAAAACAAAAAGCTCAACTCTTGGGTCTTATCTCGGAATGACAGACTTGACATGGGAACGCAAACCGGACCACTCCAGAGGTCTGCAGAGACTGCAGTGCCTTTAGCTGTTCCCGGAAATCGCAGCCATTGCTTCAAAACAGGAGGACCCCAAAAAAGGTACGCTCAATAGCAGACACGCACCCCATTTGGCTATGAATCTTGATAGGAAACCACCTCAAAAGTGGTTGGTGGACATGAGTCGGCCCCATGATTTCCACAGGGTCCGGGACCTCTGAAACATCACCAACCAAAGGTGAACCCCAAAAAATGATACCCTCCAAAAAATGACACCTGGATCGTCAGTGGCTGTTTCTTCCCAGCAGGTGTCGCTGTTTGTAGATGTTTGTCGGCTAAATATCCGTGACTGCTTTACCACGCAAATGATGAAAAAGAACAATTCTGACAAAAAACAAAACTTCCAAACCGGAACTCCGTGGAGTGAGGCTTTTTAGCAACCTCCGCCGGCGCCTGGCGCAGGAGTTGCCACGCCGCCAGCGAGGCGCGCCAAACGCCGCCAGTCACCAAGGCCGTGGCGAAGACGGCGTCGCAGCGAAGGCCCTGGGACTCGCGGAAGAGTCGAACCGCGGGTTTCGTCGGACCCCGTGGGCCGCGTTTTTGGGTTTTTCTCCGGTTTTTGTGGTGCGTCGAAAGGGCTAGAGCCACCAGTGCCAAGCTGCGAATTTGTATTTTTTCCTAGCTGTGGCTGGTCAAACCAGCCAACGTGTCTGGGGACGAGTGAGCACAACTTGGCGATCCGGGCAGTCACCAAGAGCGAACTTGGATGTTCAGCCGACTTGTAGAAGTTGTAACCATGGTAAGATGTGACCCAAGCATACCCAGGCTCTCTGCAGTGCCCAGTTTCAGCTTCCTCCAATTGGTGGTTTGGTGGTTTGTCAAGGGTGGTTTCCCACTTAATCCCTCTACAACATGGGGTTCAAATCAATCCAAACCGACAATTTGATCTAATCCATTTTGAAGCCCCATTCTTACTTGGGTCTTCAACTTCGTAGTTTTAACCTGGTTAATTATAAGGGGACGATCACTCGCCAGGGTCGCAACCTTCCCTTTGGTTGACCAGCCCGATCTCGTGGCGGGAGGCGTAGGCTTGCCCCGCGCCCATGAGGCGCAGCGCCAGGTCCCAGCGCTCGGCGCTCTTGGCCGCCGCGTTCAGGGCCACGAGGTCCGGGGCCAAACGCCTCGTTCTTCGCTTCGGGTTGCGGGCTGCGGGTTTCGGCCGGAAGGCGGGGGCTATGGGGGGGGGGCTATGGGGCTATGGGGGGCTGCTGATTGGTGCCAAGTCCGTTGCCAGACACTCCACGCTTACGGCCTTTTTGTAGGGCAATGTGTAGGGCAAGCTGCGGGGAGGGGGAAGAGGGGGGGCGGAGAGAGAGTGGTGACACGAGTCGATTTTGCACACCCGTTGGCTTAGGATACCTGAGCGTGTCGTTTTTTGAGGGTAGCCCTTTTTCAAGAGGGAAACCGAGAGGAAAACCAAATTTGGGGTCCCCTAAAACGACACATCGTTCTAATTTTGTCCGGGTGCTAGAGTGGGTTTAGGATGGGTCTAAGGGGGAAGTGGGGAAGAACTCGAGCTCCAAACATCTCTTCAGTGGTCAATTCAAGCATGAAGGAACCTCAAACAACTGGTGGCTATGCCGAACGAAAAAGAAACGAAATGAATACCACTTCTGGCAAACTGGGTACCCCGTTTAACTCCATGGATTGGAATGATTAACCAAAAAAAGGGACCTGCCAAGCGATGACAGATCCATGTAGTACTTGGCCTACATCCGGGGTGCTCCAAACACATGTTGTTCTGACTCTGCTGCATATTTAGTACACCATAAGCTATAGAACATGCCCGGAGTGGAAGAGAACCAACTGTACTGGTAACCTCCGGGATGCTTCAAGGCGCATAGATGTGATCCACTGAGGTCCCACCGGTTGGGGTGGAACCCATCCCCCCGCGCATGGCGACTTCAGACCAAGGAGCAGGCGGGCGATCTCAAGGAAGAGCAGCATGCCAGTCGCCCACACCGCGCAGGCGGTAATCCTAGGTCTCACCAGCGAGAAGGGGCGTTTCTTTGGAGTTGGTATCCCTTATTTTCGTGGTTCAGGGGAAACCAACAGGAAAACCGCATTTTTTTGTGAAAGAAAGACATGCCCGTACAATGCTCAATCCATGGGCCCTGCCCAAAAGGGACTTGCTAGGCTTAGGGGTAGGATAAGGCTTAACATGGTTGGCCTGAATGTAAGGGGCTATTTAATACCTGCTAATCATAACTGAAACTGCTTTTTAGAGCCTTCGTATTCCAGGAAGGTCTATAGAAAGTTGGCCAAACACCCACAAACTGCCACGGCGTCCTGTAGAATCTCTCTGGAATCACTTGCAGTTTTTTTTGCTTCTGTCTTTATGTAGTGTTCCAGTGGAAGCAACAAGTCAGAAAGAACATGGAGTGGATGTAGCTGCAGCTACAGGGACCCCCGCAACTCACTTACCCAAAAGACCCAGGCCTCGTGGAGCCTTGACTATGGACATGGAAACCAACCAGTTGGAAGGTTCATTCGCTTGCAACTGAGACCATGAGCATGATCAAATACCAGAATCATGGGGCCGGGGGGAAAGCAGCCCAATGAGCTCTGCAGCCCTTACTTGGCTGTGGCTCAAAAAACCGGAATTCCACAATGGAACCCTGGGAAGTGGAAACATGGACCAAAACCCGCGGTTTGCCACTCCTGTTTCATTTTGAGCCACTTCCACTTGTAAAGGAATTAGGCCTCCCTCCCCCTGGCCTCCCTGCCCAGCCCCCACAGAAGGATCTGCATATCAGGCCGAGGCACAAGGCGGAGCAGGTGATGGCTGTTGGCAGCACACCATCCCAGCGCAGCACCTCCTGAGATACAAAAAAATATGCTGCCGCCCAAGCAAGCCATCCATATAATTTCAATGAGCGGGGGGGGGGGGGGTACTCAAATAAACATGTGTAACTCCATAAAACACAGAAAACTGGATTGAAGTCCCAAATCAAGTCAACAACAAAGTGGGTTAACTCTAAAAGCACACACAACACAACAGCTCCCGACTCCAAAGCAAAAATCAAAACCAAGAACACACCCAACTCCACAAAGGGGTTTCCCGCAACCCCGCCCCCCACAAAGGGTTTACCAACTCAAACATAAACCCCGCCCCTATGGATGCAAGTTCTTGAATCGGGGCTTTACCCCCCCCCCCCCCCAAAGACCTCAAGCAATCAGGGCACCCATTTCTCTTGGAACAAACCCCCTTTGAAAAGCACTGCGGCAAGGTTCGTTTAGCGTCACTCCAGGAGGACACTCACCTTAAGTTGGCCTCAACACCACCCTGCGAGTGAGCAGCACAAAACCAGGGGGGCGTTCTAGGCTATAAGCCAAGGATAAACCCTCAAGTATGCTATATTAAGGGCCCAACTCTGGACAAAGTTCAGCGCCAGTTGGGATTGCTGGTTTAGGAAGCCAGCATGGCAGCATAGGGATTCACGCATCCCAACTGCAGGATTTGGTCCATCGACGCCAAAACAATGTTCACTCGATCACCTGGACCCCGTTTCGAAAAATTTCCCTTTCTGTGATACCAAACTAGTTGATTCCCGTGACTCTGCTGTATGACTCACCCGCGATTCCCCTGCGCCCCCCCCCCCCCCCCACTCACAGACACTTGCAAACTACACCCCGAGATTTCCACGACCATCTGCAAACTCTACCATGACTTCTTGGGGATCCCGGAAAAAAACAAACACATGCACGGCTTTCCCTCCTTTTTACCCCCAGCTCGCCATAGAAAACGCCGCGAATCACGGCATGCGCGGCGCCGGAACCCGCGAATCGCTTGCGAGGCTCGAAGCTCTGGAAGCTCCTCTGCCACTCCTTCGCGCGCCCGCAGCCGGTGCAGGCCTCAGGTCAGGTCAGTCAGGACGGGCTCGCTGCTTTGACTCGAGCGGCTCGGGGCTTTAAGCCCATGGTCCAAAGACACCGTCATTTGGGGTTGCTAGGGATGGTCCACCTGGTAAAGGATCCTCAATAACCATTGGAATGGTTTTAAGGGAACCATGAACATCGGAACATAAGCCGTTCGGAGTTTTGACCATGGCACTCATGTGCTGTAACAACTTATGAAACCCGCAACAATTCCCCGTTTCACGCCCAAAACATGGTTGCAACCAAAATGGTTGCCTCAAAAAGGAGGTGTTGCAAGATGGGCGTCCCGGTATGCCGGATCCCGGTTTGTAGTAGCGCTGCTTTTCCCTGATTCAGAAATGCCCTGTACAAATGAGTAGCTTGGGTTCCATCAGAATCTGGGGAGTGACCTTTGTAGCATTTGCAATTTGAAGTGTAAACGACAACCATGTTTCCCTCACGGTTTCGGGGGAGTGGACAAGCAGCCAAGCATGTTGCCAGAGACAAGTGCTCCTAAGCTCACGTCCGGTTCAGTGGGTTGGCCAAGAAAGGTAGCCAAACTTTGTTGTTTGTCACCATGGTCCCAGCCCACATTGCTGCTGTCCAACCCAGGGAGTGACCTCAAAATGGTCCCAAACCTTTCAAAGCTCCAGACTCCAATGGAGGGTGCTTGATGCCGAAGTCCAAGAGAGTGAGTAAGGGTATAAAATACTTGGAAAAAAAGCCGCCGGCTTCACGTGAAAGCTCCCTCTCTGTTTGTAAATAAACAGCTAAATCTATCTGTCGCTTTCTGCTCCCCTGGTAAAAGTTTAACTTTTAGCGGTCTAATGGAAAACCCATTAGTTGGCAAAAAGTTAAAGTCCTAACATCCAAGCAAGATGCACCAAAGTATATATATATACACATATTCAATTATGCATAGGGAAGTCAAGAAGCAGGGAATTGAGTGAACAAACCCAACATGCACCAATTAGGATGGATGAAGGTCTGTGAACGAAATCCTGCAGACAAGGATGAAACCCCAACTCATACTGGGATAGCATGGCAAAGTGAATCTTGTCCGTCCACACTGTGAAAGGCCCCAAACCCACCAGAGGAAAAAAACAACTTTCAGAGTTCCCTTTGCAGGAAAACTTCCGATGAAACACTCGCAAATCAAATCAAAGGTTCATGTTTGAAAACCAACACGCCAAAGATCTCAGGAGTCAGATGTCCACGACAAAGACCCGCGATGACCCAGCCAAGATGGTACCGCAACATGGCCCCAACTTTCAACCCTTTCACCCAAACGGAAGCGACCACGCAGCAGAGACACGGCGTTGAAGGGCACTGCCTCGTGAGCGAGCGGCAAATGTACCCCAGCCTCTGATATCAACCCCAAAGAAGGAAGTGCTTGCCCTGGAAAACCAGCTTTTGTTTCTTCCAAAAACACCTTTGAACAAAGGGGGTATTTGGCGGAGTAGTACAGTTTCTTGTTTGATCACCATTGACCCAGCCCCTGGTTGCTTCCAAGAAGTGGGTCTATTTGCCGAAGCAGCGCACGAAAACAGGAAGATGTTAGCCAGTCCTGGCCATCTTCACTGTTTGTCTCACAAATCAGCATCAAACGCAAAACATGGTGTTGAAACTAGCTTGCCTCCAATTTGGGGCTTGGACTGGTGGTTTGGTGGTTCAGAAGTGGTGTCCCATCTACCCTCTACAAGAACCAGGGTTTCACATTTCAATCCAAACTAATCCAAACCAGCAGCCAAGGGGCACCTAAAAGGTCAACTGACAAGACTCGTTTTGTTGCTTCTCATCCAAGCAGTCCTACAATGAAACTCCATTAGAACCCTGGTTCTTCCCAATCAAGAAACACGACGAGCGGGCTTGCCTCAAAACGTGAAAATGGTGGACCCAACAAATGGTCGGATTCTCACCGAAACGGGGAGAGAAAGGCCCCCCCCCGAAAAAAGAAAAGAAAAAAGGAACACACAAATCCAAGGAAATTGACATGATTGGGTTGGTGTTCCCAATGTGTCCAATGAAAGATGTCAGGCCCAAATGTGGGTTTCTCGGGCCTTCATATTTTGACCTTGGGCTGGACTTTTGTAAGGGAACCCCGCAAACCGACAGTTTTCAAAATCGGTCCTTGGCCAGTTAAAAACGACAAAAAGTTGAAAACCAAACGTCTGGGGACCGCCCCAACCCCCCCCCCCCCGTTGCCATGGGAATGAAGGGATCCACTTCCATTGACCCACCGCGTTGCTCTCGAGATAAGGGCCTACCCCTGGCGACTGCCCTAGGGCAAGCAGAATGGCAGCCTTTGATTCGGCAAGCCATCTCAGCAAGTCGCGGCGTCTATCTACTGTTGCTAGGTGCTGCTTTACGTGCCGGAGTTGACGTGCTGCAATTTTTACGCCTGCCCGGAAACATCTCCGCCTGCCTTGAAACAAGCCACGGGCAAACGCGTTCGGCAAGCCGACACGGCGACGCTGCCTTTTTTAGGGGGGGAAACCGGGCACCACTGGCAGACTGGGGGTCTGTGCCCGAAATGTCCCGACCGTGCGAGTTGAATGTGTTGAAAGCCGAGGCGCATTGGGCCTTTGGAGCCGCACGGTTCGCAGCAGGCGGAGGCTATGGCGCCAAGTGCCCTCACCTGGCGACTTCCTTTGAGTAACCGTTTGCCGTGTTCCTGGCTTTTCAAGGGAAACCCCGTGGCTCTCTAAAACCAAAACAGCTACATGAAAGCACTGGGATTGGTTCACTTCAAAGCCACTGTTTGAGGGCGGTCCCTATTGGTCGTGGGAGATGTGTTTCTTGAAAGCCAGAAAAAGGGTAGCCGGTTTTTTTGGAGGGTGTTCCCCATTCGCGGTGAGAAATGACCCAAAATTTGTGATACGAAGGTGGTTGATTCCCATACTTGATCACGGGGATTCTCTTCGCTCACAGGCAATTTGCCC